TGACTTCCCTGGGCAGCTTTAACAGATCTAAAAGCTGTAATCAGAATTTAGGACCAGCTCTTCAGTGCCTTTTACTCAGTGGTGAAGTATTTTTTAAGAGAGAAGCACTGAGAAGCCTCCTGTAACAAATGGGTTACTGATTTGCTGAGTACTTTGCCTAGAACTCACAGAACTGTCTTAACACTTCTTATGTGGAGTATAAAAATGTTAGTGAGACAAATATTTTTTACATATTTTGGTGGCAGACGTCTGCTGCACAGACTAATGTTGCATATTTTCAGTGAACCCATAATAGTTTGCATTTCAGCATAGATTGCAGAGACATTGGTTCCCACATTCCCCCATTTCCCTTTGTCTTGGAGTCTCCTGTCACTATCCAACAAAGCTTTTTTCCCCCAAGAATGTTACTTTAAAAGTAAAAAGAAGAGGAGAAGCAGCTGTGTGAAGTCTTGCCTTTGGGTGAATTTCTGAACTGTCTGTTCTAGGAGATAGCATTTCCTTTGTTCCAAGAGCATAAACTCAGGCCTTTGCTGAGGACAGGCAAAAGCACTGCCATCAAAGAAGAAGACTCTCACATGGATTTGTGTCACTTATCAATGAGCAGTTACCCATTGATGCTCACAAGTGGTTCATAATTCTCTCTGAGTAGACAGCATTTTTGTGGGTTCATATTCTTCGCCTGACAAAATGCCTATAATACTTTTGCCAAAGGCAGTGTTTTCCAAGGCTTAGCTTTCCTGGTGCCAAGAATTCTTCAAAAGCAGTCCAAAAGCCAAGTACTAGTGGGTATAAAAAGCCTACTGTGGCAATAGAAAAGGCTTTAAAAACTTTTGTATTTGTTCATACAAGTGTTTCAGTGTGGAAAATCCTGTCTTTAAGCTTCATTAACTTTATAAGACTGCAAACTAAGAGTCCAGTGTTTGATGCATTTTTATGCATTTAAATTTTAAGACAATGAGCATTAAAGTTGAAATGCAGATTACAAGCAAGCAAGAAAAAAAATATTTTCACTCCAGAACAAAGTGCTGTGAGACCTACAGCTCTGCAACACTCCAGCATAACCCTAGATGGAAGTTTTAAGGGAGCCATTCATAGAAAAATGCAAAATGTACAATGTACAAGAGAAAGGATTGGTCTCTAAAAAGAAAGAGTAATAAATATAAGCTGCATGACAATGATGCTTTTGCCATGCTGCGTTGCCTAAAATCTTACAGCAATGTCCACCTGTCTAGGATAGATGTAGTGGTAAAACTTCTAAGTCACTGCTGAGAATTTTTCAAAATCCAATACTCTCACTACTCTACTCAAAACAGTTTGATATAATGAAATACCTATTCTGGCATACAGGGTGAGATGTGAGTAACAAAATGCGCAGTGGCAGAGAGGCTGGAGCCAGAGGATGTTTAAGGTCCCTTCTGACCCAAACCATTCTCTGATTCTATGAATATCCCCAAGTACTGAAGTCTGGGATTCTAGGAAGTGTGACTTGGCTTCCCAGTGCACACCAGCCATCAAACATTGAGTACATTCAAGTTCAACATTAAGCAAGTATGTCAACAATATATATGGTGCTTGCAGCAGTTCTGTCATGCACAAAAGACACAAGTCCAAATGCTAATACAGAATATGCTGTTTAAATGGGGAACAGAGCAGCTTTGTGATTCATCACAGCATGAACACTAGTCTTCTTTATACTTGTTCAGTAAAATTCACACAATTTTATATGCTACTCTTGAAATAACACAAACTGAATTCCAGACTTGCTTTCATGTGAGAACCTATGGGCTCATACAAGAGTTGTGTGGCTGATTGCGCTTTGCAGAGCTATTGCTTGGCAAATTCTGAAACTGCAACACAGGACTAAATTGGATTTTGATTTCTGTGTGGCATCTCTGTAGCCATCTAAACTCTCAGTCTTTAAAGTAAGCCGTCTGCTTCTATTGCTGTCTGCTTTTCATTTCCATTATTGAACTGAAATACAGATAATATGTACCACCTTTGGAAATTTAACTTGGTTACTGTACCTGTTTGCAGGTTTTCCTGTGTGCCAGAACTTTTCGTTCAACTTCACGGCAAATCTGGCCCTGTATTCCTTTAGCTGTCTCTAAAACCTTTGTTAATACCTGTCTTGTTGAGTCCTGTGAGTTCCCTGGGCTGCTTTGATGCCCACATGAGAGGGGCAGTGGGGTGTTGTGTTCCCGCAGGCTGTGGCTGTGGGTGGGATGTTTGCCAAGCTGGACAAACACTGGGCACCCCAGAGACCCTGACCTGCACGGGGGGTTTGGGAGTGACTGGGCAGAGTCCAGATGTGCAGCTTCTCTGCAGGGCATGGTAGGGATGTCGATGTGCATCTAGTCTGCAAACTCAACATTCTAAAAGCCAGAAGCTGGCCTGAGCTGTGTAGTTTCAGGAAGAATGTAGTTCCTGCAGCCAGTGGATGTGTGGCAGGCAGGCAGGGAGAGAGATGTGCCTGAATAGGAGATCACAGAGGGTTGCAAACAGCAGACTGCTTCTATCTGAATGTTTTCCACATCTGTCATCCAAGCAAAGGGGATTGTAGAACTTTCAAGGTTCAAATTAGGAGTTTTTTTAAATCATCAGTTTTAACTATTTTAGTAGTGTTGTATTGGACTGTGCTGTTAACTAAAATTTACCACCTTATGCATGGATTATTCAGTTTTTGAAGGTGGAGACAAATCAGTGCCTGTGTTTAAAGCCCTGTGAGACTGCATTCAGTTCAAGATGGTTTTTTGTTTTGCTTAGGAAAATAGGAGTGACCAACTAGTCCTGATGTCTGTAAATTCTTAGAGGTCTTAGTAAATGTATTTGATTTGTTCTGTCTTATTTGTGTAATCCAGAAAATATTCTTAAAAAAAACTTCACCCAAGTAAGGAAATAAAACTAGATGAGGCTGCTACTGCAGCCTTAAAGCAAAGCCACTGTAGTGCACATGCATTTCTTAAAATACTTCTTTTTTCCCCCACAGACCTAAAGATTATCGAAGAAAGTAATAAGAATGAAAGAAGTGCCATCAGGAGTGTCCCTCCTCCCTCAAAGAAAATTCTTCTAATGTGGAAGCATCTGTGCAGCTCAGTCAGCCCTTCTATGCTGAATGTTTCTGACAGGTGTTAGCAAATTTGACTTGGTAAGATTACAGAAATTCCTGTATTTGAAACAGCTAAGATTAGGTATTATCTTGTGAATGCCATCTGTACTGTGCATTGTATGATCTGATGTTTTTTACTGACATTTGATTTGATACTGTTATTAAAGAATTAATACCTTTGTAATGAGTATTTGCATCTCATAGAAACAGTACATTGACTACTACAATGAAGTAGCTCACTGCTGACAAACCAGTGTTCCTTAAAGAACTTGTTGAAATAACAGGCATTAAAGGCAGATCAACAGAGAGATACTTCTCCTTTTTTCCCCGCTTCAGCCTCAGTCTGATTTTCATTCAAGTCACAGGAACATGCCTTACCTGCTTTAAGGAACATATTGCAGAACAGAGAAACATTTTCATTATGAAAACTAAATGAGAAGATCAAACTTCAGTGTTGAATGATGCAAAAAAAGTCACAAAATTCACTTCACTGTCTGAAATTCCTGTCTGCTTTCCTGCTCTGAAAACCCTCAAGCCAAAGCTGTTCTGTAGATAAGTAAAGCACCTGTTACTTTCTGTGTTGTAGGAAATGCTGATACGTTATTTACCAAATATTACAACGTCTGGTGAGGAGAATTTGAGTGTTCTACATCTGCTTCATACAAGCATCATACAGGAAGAAAACCAGTTGTTTATTTATAAACATATTTCATTAAGTGAAATAATGGTTTGGTATTGGGCCTTTCTTTGACATTCAGATGGGCTTATCCCAGGAAAGATTCCTATCTAGTGAATGCGCAGCCTTCACTTCCAAGTTAGTTAGTACACTGCATTAACTAGTGAAAGTATTTTTGACAGGCCTAGGTTGCAGTAAATGCTCTTTTCTGTGTAAGGACACAGCACACAGTTTATTGGTGTGTGGCATCAGCTGTTCATCATGTGCTGAATCCTTCAGTCAGCAGCTTCAGTTTCTTAGGTGGTCTGGAAAAAATACGAGACACTCTTGATTATTTAGAGACTGGATTTTGGAGAAAATCTTGACTGACTGTGTCTTACTTCTTTTGGGAAACATACAATTCCTGAATAGTATTTTTATAACTGGGTAGAGCAGAGAGTAACTAGTTAGTTACTCTATATTACCAAGATAGGTCCAGCAAGTGACTATGATTAATGATACCAGAAGCATTCTGGTCAGCCTGGTGCCAGTAAATGGCACAGTAAATAGAAAGTTAAAATAAATTAACTACTGCAATTGAAGCTTGTGCTTTAGTATGTAAATAGTTAAAAAATTTGAATGAGTATGGCCACTTTATTTTCCCCAAGTAATTTGTTTAAGTCACTCCATGTACATCATGTGGTGTGAGGAGGAGGTGGCAGTGGCAGCCAGTTGTGGAGGTGTCCTGCACGGGGGATCCCTCAGGCCCAGAGCACCCAAATTCCCTGTGTTCAGGGGGGGCTGTGCTGCTTCCAGCTGCTCCCCCAGCCCAGGAGACTGTGGGGTGTGGGAGCTGTGGGACTGGCATAGCACAGGTGCCATCCACTGCATACCACGGGCACCCTCAGGGATTTGGTAAGGCTGTTCCATGGAGTAAATAACACCAATTTCCTTATTTTGATCAGTTTGATTATGCTGTATCCCTACGTCCCTGGTGTTGCCCTGTGGTCTCATCACTCTCTGTGGTCCCAAAAGAACCTGATATTTGGATATAGTGTTGCAGGCCAGCCAGTCATGACTAATATATTGTGCACTGTTAGCAAGAAACTCCCAAGTCTTCCAAAGACAAAACAGGCAGAATTGCTTGAAAGCTGATTTTTTTCCATCAGTGATCTTCTCAGTCACTTCCACAGGTCAGCATATCTCAAGCAGAACTCTGAGCTGTGTCAGTAGAACATGGATGGGAGTGGGCTGACCAGGGAGGGGCAGAGAGAGTTTGCAGTTGGGGTAAATTAATGTGGGTGTTGACAGCCAGTGCCAGAAGGGAAATTAACCCTGTGACCCCAGGCATTATTGTATTTAGTTTTAATAATACCTCTGAGTGTCAGTTGCATGTGCCAGGCTGTGGTACCTGCTTGTGGCCAAGAGAGCCATGCTCACTTGGGGCCTCAGTGTTCTGTCAAGTGGGGTTAAGCTGCCAAAAAATAAAGCCCATAACTACATTATACTTTTCTACCTTCTATTTTAAATGTAAGTGCAGGTAATGAAATGACAATCGACTCACATTCTATCAACTTTTATTGCCTTTCCCCAAGAAAATCGGTGGAGTCAGAGGTGAAAGGAGTTACTGGAAAAGAGAAAGAACCTAGGAAGGTATCCAGCCCCCAGCCAGAGCCTGCTAGTCACATTTGCAGATCACGTGTGCCACTAATGAAGCTGAATTCTAGGTGAGATAATTGGAGATTACACACTAAAGGTACCTATTCATCTTCTTCCTGGTGAGCTAAGGGAGCTGCTGGCAGTAGCCAGAGGCCAAACCTGACAGGCTTTTCTTTACTGTGGAATATTACTAGACCGCCTCCCAATTGGGGTGAGCAGGAGGATGGTCCTGAGATGTGCAGGACAGCCTCTCCATGTCTGTAAAGGGCTGAAGAAAAAGTGTTCCAGACCTATGCTTTCAACTTAAATGGCCATTCTTGAGCTAAATCTTGCTCAGTCTCCAGTGCTCTTCAAAGCTGTTTATTGAGTCTCTTTTTAACTTACCTTGTTTGTAGATGATTAATTGCTCTGTGCTCAAGATGGGTTGGTGTTTTGCCTTCCTCTCCTCGTTAGCTGATCCCAAGTTGCCATCCCAACTACACCTGCCAGTCTTTTGACTTGGGCATGTTGACATGAGGAATCTCACATCTGGAGTTGGTACAACTACCTCAGTTACTCTCTGCATTTGTCCATATACAATTTAAAAAATAAGACTAAATAATGTTTATACTACAGCCTTTAAAATAAAATTGTTGCCCCAAAGTGTTGAAAATAGGAAATGTATTTCCTTCTCATTACATTCTGTCCCCTGAAGATCTAATGCAATTGTTTTGAGTTAAAAATCAAATTAATACAGAATTACCATACAAAAGCTTGCCACTTTTATTTGCGTACAAAACAGAAATGAAAGAGGTTCACAATAAATTATCAGTGTGCTCCCACGGAACATTCTTGTGTATTTATTTTAGGTGAGTTAAGAAAACAGTGGTCTGTAATGTAAGAAATCTTTACAAAAGGATAATAACTGGGGTGCAAGGACACCTGATGCTTTGTTCTCCAGTGGATTTAGTCAGGTTACTCTGCTAGTAAAGCAATTAATCCAAAACAAAGAGAAAGTACTGAGCTGGGAAAAAATGGATAACAAAACATTAACTTTCATGAATGGTTCTATGTACACCACCTAGCCAGATGCATTTCTCAGATACAGTTTGAAGAGTGAACAGTACTCCAGAGAAAGATCTACAAGTGACCTTTCATCATCAGCTAGCACCAACCCACTAACATACTAAACTTCTGACATGCAAGATAATTACCATTATTTGTTGTGTCAACTGGCCATGTACACTTTTCTCTCCTTTAACATAAGAGCCTGTAAACATCTTCAGTGACAGGTGAGGCACTGGGGCAAAAGGCCAAACGCAGGTGTGCATAAAATGTTTCCCTTTTTTAAACAGTTCATTGAGGGGGGCTTTTTCCGTTGGCCTTTGTGTGCACTGGGGTCTTGGCACTCCTTTTGGCTATCCTCCTGGCGAAGCGACTGATTCCCGGGGATCTCAGCTCAGCGGCTTCCATCTCCTCTTGAACAGGAGTAAACTCTGCTTGAGCAAGATGAGGTGATGGATAGGACTGGGAGTATGGGGATGGTAAGGGGTAGGACCCGTGAACTACGTACGGCTGTTGCTCACCATCATAAAGGTCGTCAGGGTCATAGATTTGGTAGGAGTTATGTGGCAACTGCACTACTGGGATGTCTTGATCAGTTGGCTCACCGTATCCACCTTAACCCACCACCACCAAGAGTATTCATACGGTTAACACAGGAGAAGGGGAGTAGAAAATTAAAGCATTCATTAGGAAATTGACATTTTATATATAGATATATTTCTATACCGTGTGTGTGAGTATATATATATATATATATAATCTTTAAATACAAATCTTTTATTCACATAAAGGAACAATGAAAACATTTAACAAAATTAATAAGCTGGAGCAATTGGAAACCCACCAACAGACAGCCAAGTTAGTTGGAAACCACCACCACAATTTGTCAAATGTCCGGTTGTAACACTGTGCTCATTATACACTGCACACTCTGCCTGCTATAGCTTATTCCAATTATGCGCTAGAATACATGAGTAGCAGGCAAAAATGGGTCAGGCAATAATTTTTAGCAGTGCCAGGAAGCCAAGTGCATGTACAGCAGCTGTAAGTTCATTAGTGGTAGTCATTATCGTTGCTGGAAAGCACAGAGCAGTTCAGCATCCATCTCTGACCTTCAGCCCAATGAGACCTGAACCAGAATGAGCCTTTCACCTTCTGGATTGGTAGCCATTGTAAGGGATTGGGCCTTAAAACAGGAAAGGAACAACGGGGAGGGGAAGTGAGAAGAAAAGGACAGGAAGAGACGACAACAAAAACATTCAGGTAAGTAAAACATACAAATCAGCTCAGGGGCAGATTAAACTGTAAACATCAAACAAATATGCCTTATGCATAACATTTGTAGTTTAGTGCTTTACTAATTAATTTTGATTTTAGGTTGGGTGATTTAATTTTTGGCAATTGTGTTAACTTCTTCCCATGGCCTCTCCGTGCTGTAATGAGATGGGGAAGTAGGATACTAGGATACAGAGAAGATATAGAAGGAATCATTTTCTCCAGATGGCTTCACTGGTTAATGATGGACACGTGCATCCTTGTGCCATGTTACACTACTACAGGTTTAGTAAGGGTCATGCTCTCATGCCACTCAGAGGCACATGGAAGGGGAGGTTGAGCAACACGTTTGAGAAACTACAAGTGTAAAAACTCTGCTGTCACAAACATGAGTTGGTAGGGCTTCAACACAGAATACTGAGATGGAGCAGGCTCATACAGCTACACAAACATGTACAGGACAAAACCCACTAGGCAGGATCGGTTTTACAGGCTGGGATCAGACGGTGGTCACTTTCCTTTGGTCACTACGCTGGGTCACCTTCTCTTCATGCTGCAGTCCCACAAAGCAGAGCCACACTGGACACGCAGGTTTTTAGGGAGCCACCACATTTTAGTGCAAGTTTCACTGGTAGCCTCCATCTCACTTGGGCTGTTAGAAAATGCCCCCCACACCTCTGCGAACGGCAGCTTCACCGACTCCTCGCTACTCACCTCCCATGCCGTAGCCAGCGCAGGAGGACGGGTCACAGTACCCTGGGGGCCCAGCAGGACCCGGTGAGCCCGGGGACCCCGAGTGACCAGCAGGACCTCGTGGGCCTGGGGATCCTGGTGGTCCCGGGCTGCCAGTTCGACTTTCTCCTGGAGGTCCTGCATAGAACAGGGAGATGAAACATCTGTGCAGTGTCTTGCATGAAAGCAGGGATATGAGGCCATCTTTCCTGGCCTGGAAAACATGGCACTAACTGTGTAATAAATACTTCCAGGAGACAGCTTAAGAGAGGAGCAAGGCATCCTGGCTCTGACTCCCCTGGGCAAGCTGAGAGAAAGACTTCAGCCTCTGGCAAGGAGGACAGAGCAGCAGCCTGAGAGGAGACCCACTTCCAATGAGCTTCCTCTCTGGTTACTGCTTCATTTTCCTTGCCAGAGAGAGCTTCTAGGCAGAACTGGAGCAAATGTTTCACCAAACATCAGACTTCTGGAAAGGGATTTTCAGGGGAAATATAGCCCTGGATGCCTGCACAGCTCTTGATTCCTCCTACTCCCTTTCAATAGAGTTTCTGGGTAATGCTGTGACTTGAGACCAGTGTCCAACAGCCAGGATATCCTCCTGAGGTCAGTGCAATTTTACTCCTGTTTCAACAGGACCTGGTTATCACTCTGCTTTTTCAGGACCTAAATATAAATCCATGTGATATCATGTGCTTAATTACTATACATTTCTCTGTCAACTCATGTTTAGGTATGACATTAAGTCAATCAGAAAACAAATGTAATTAGTCTAGATTAATTTTTTCCCCTTCTAGAAACCATGTCTGAAAAAAATACATGGAACATTTTTAAAAGGTGGGCTTGGGGAAGCAGTTTATCATAGGGAAAATGCAAATACTTGTGTGATAAGCAACACCATCATGTGGCATATCCCAACATGATATTACATAGTAAGAACGTTATGAAGTTAAAGTGCCTGAACTGCTACTCTTCTGCTACTCTACTTAAGGAGAAAGACAGAGCTGCTCTAAACTTCTTCACACGTGGGTCAGAATGGTCTAATCCAGATGCCTCAAATGTAAGTTTACCTGTGGATCCTGGTGGACCTCGGGGTCCTTGTGTTCCAACACCTGGATTGCCTTTCTCTCCTTTCTCACCTGGTAAACCTAAGGAAATAGTATTCAGTCACATTTTTATTCAAAGTGTGAGTAGTATTTATTATTTAGCCAGGAGTATAGTTCTATATGCTATTTTTCATCTAAAAACAGATGGCAGAGAAGGAAGAAGATGAAAATTAAAAATTATTCGGTTCTTTTTCCATCTCTCTCCTGACAGCCTCTGAGGGGAAATGTCATTCTTGGGGTCTTAAACATTCCTGTTGCCATGGTGGTTTCATCAGGATGGTATGCAGAGGCATCAGCCAGTTTCCAGGCTGCACTTCCTGTGGAAAGCTGCCTCTGGACTACACCAACGTGCAACTATTGTAAGTCAAAAGAGTCTTCCAAGCCTTGTAGCTATAAATTACTGTGTGGCCCAAAACAGTAAAATGTTGGTGCTACAGAAAATTTTCCTTCAAACATTCACCCACCAAAGAGTGGTACAGCACAAGATTGTTCATGGAGAGAGTTGTTACCAGTTGTGGCAGTTTCTTGCTAAAACATGAGAAAGGAGTTTCATCACAGTCAAAATCTGACCCCCCCAAGTAAAGCCTAATCCAGACGTTTCCCAGTCTTGAAACTCTAATATCCCAACAGACAGACCCAGTGAGTTGTGCTCCTCCACTCACTCCTGGCACTAAATTTCTCTCCTTGTGTCTGATCTGTGGAGATCACAAATCTGGTAATTCAAAGAAAGCACTGCTTACTTCCAGCTTTCCATCTCCTTCTGCACTGCCACTATGGCATCCTATAAAAACACTTTCTATATGCAGCCATCACAATAAGCAGAGTTGAACTATAGTAGGTGTCAAAACTATAAATTCCAGACCCTGAGTTTCCACTGGTGACTTGGAAATTCTCATAAAGTCTGTGTTTGATTTGGATGGTTTAAAGACACCAAATCCTGGCTGGTTTGTGGGACTTCCCCCCCATTTTCCAGACCTCCCTCCCAGCACTGGTAATTGCTCTCCTGGCTTCACAGCTTCCCTGCTTTCAAATCAAAGTCTATACATGGCACCTTCATCAACACAGAGCAGAAAGAAAACAGCTGCTGCCCTGGATGGGACAATACCTGCAGTTCCAATTGACTGGGCTCCTTTCCTCCTCTCTGCTCAGGTAACTGCTGCCTCTTAGGGCAAAACAGCTGGAGAACACCTCATTTTTGCAAGGAATCATAGAAGGACAGAATATGCTGAGTTGGAAGACACCACAAAGATCACTGAGTCTGGTTCCCAGCCCTGCACAGCACCATCCCCAAGAGTCACACCAGGTGCCTGAGAGCATTGTCCAAACACTTCTTGAGCTCTGTCAGGCTGGTGCTGTGACCACTGCCCTGGGGAGCCTCTTCAGTGCCCAGCCACCCTGTGGGTAAAGAACTTTTTCCTGATATCCGACCTGTGTCTCCCCTGACACAACTTCAGGCCGTTCCCTTGGGTTCTGTCACTGTCACCACAGAGAGGAGATCAGTGCCTGTGCCTCCCTCTTCTCCTCACGAGGAAGTTGTAACTGCAATGAGGTCTCTCCTCAGTCTCCTTACTGAACAAACCAAGTGGCCTCAGCCCCTCCTCATCAGGTTTCCCCTCAGGGAGTCACAGAACTTTTTTTACCTTCTTAAGCTAATTTGTAATGGAAGCAAATAAGTAAATAAAAAGTCTAAGTGTGGGGAAAATTGTAATTAAAACCCATTGATGGCAAAGAATTGCTCACATCAAGTTTATCAAATATGAGTCTGCTGAAATGAAGTGGATTCAGTATCCCAGGAGGAGTTCTGTGTCTTCTGCAGGAACTAGAGGCTTCTAGGGCAACATGTCTGACCCAACTACATGGAAAACACAGGTCACACCACTGCAACCAGTAAATCCAGAGTGAGCACATAATTTTTAACTAAAGCATGGATCACCTCTTTACCTTACCTCTACAAGGTTCTTTGCCACTGTCCTGGCATAGTTAAGGCATTGCCTGTTTCCCTTTTTTGCGTTTTATTTCCTCCAGTTGCATAACTTTGAGGGAAGGGTGGTGGTGGTGGTGGTGATTCTTTTTCACATGCTTGAAATTTCTTAGCCCTGGCTTGCTTCAAACATATGCAGAAACTCATCTATTGCAATTCTCTGTACTGCAGGCCTGGTAACAAGGTAAGTGTGTCCAAATTGTCTCTTACCCCACAGGACCTGCAGGGAAAGGTTTGCCCTTTGCAAAAGTCAAAGTCGGTTTGTGTGAATTGCTTTTTTCCTGAGAATGACCCATTACAACCATCTGCAATCTATACAGCTGTTCAGTACAAGGACCATTGCTTATCCTACTGCATGGTAACATTACTTGGTGACTTCAAAGGCAGCAGCCACAATGTTTTGAAATCACAGCCTGCCATGCACTCAATTATAATTATTAACACACACAGAAGTACACACTCCTATGTGATGTTCACAGGATAAAATGTCAATAAGAAATGCTAAACATGGAACAAATCTACTCAGGCTAAGAAGAAAACATCCATTCTAGAATAAATTATGAATCTCTTGTGCAAGGCAAACCTTTGAAAGCAAACACTGAAGGCCAAGATAAAAGTCTGCATCGGGTTTCTTTTAGTTTGATTTCCAGTAAAGTTTATCCAAGTTAAAGAGAACATAAACACTGATGCAAAAATGTCCTAAGGCAAAATGCTCATGAGTTAAAGCCACGGGCTTCCCTAAGGGACTTAAGGGAATCACGGACCTCTTAGCTCACTCCTAATAAATGGCAGAATATTCAAAATTCACCCAAGTCATCTTTGGTGCCAGCAGAGCATGGCTGACAGAAAACCAGCCAGAGAACCATCATTCTTGTGGGTTACTGCAATAGTTAATTGCCCTCAGAATGAAAGTGTGTGTGTCTCAAAACTTGCCATTTGAGTTAAGGATGCTTCAGGTCCCAGGAACTGCTTTCATGTTTGTGCTCTGGACATGCTTCAGCAATACCATCAAACTGTCTCTCCCCTTCATTCTAACTGTGGGTTTATGTCTTGTCCCCATCCAAAATAAGCAATGTCTTCATTTAAGACCCATGGAGACCACAAGCAACTGAAATCAATTATTTCCAACTCTTCACTAAAGATAACTCTGATAGCACCAGTTATTGAAAACAACACCAAGCTCATGAATAAATTCTCTAGCAAAGAAAAATAGATTTCCATGATATCTGCACAAATGGAAATCTCAGGTGTTCTTTATCTAATTTTGTCTTTAAGAGAGTACTGTCCTGTGAGGAGAACTATGTATTGCACTTAATAAAAATTAAACTACTATCAAAAATGTCCTCTTTTCAAGATGTTCAGCTGTCAGCATAGTGTAAACAACACATGGTTGTGATTTTTTTTATTTTTTTTAATCCAGATGAAGCTAAAACTGGAAATAAAAATATTTAATTGACAAAACTGGCAGAAGTTCCATTTAATTCCACTGAAATTTTGCCATCACAGCTGTAAATGTGTCTTTTGATAACACATGTTTAACTGGCTCTTTCATATGAAGCCAGGAAGCAAATAAGGATGAAGCTGTGCTTGAGAACAGTAACTTTCCCAGTGACAGCTTAGGTATTTATTGTACTTTAATCATAGTGGAATAGGCTGAGTAGCTCTAAGTTTTATTCAGCACTTCAGACCACATAAGAACTGAAGTTCATTCAATAGTAGAACTGCACTTTCTCAGCATCTGAAAGTTAGCAGTGCCTCAGAATAATTTTTACTATGGCTTTTCCATTTTTCCACAAAGTTGAGAAAACAACCCATGTATTATAAAAATAACTGGAAACCAAAAAGAAGAAAAGAATGTGTTGATTCTTTTGGTTTCTATACCATTTTGCAGAGATCCAACTACTTCCTGGGCAATCAGAAGCCAGACACTAGTTATTTAAGTCCCAGATCATAAACAAAACCAAAACAAAATATGTTCAAACTAACTGAAAGGAAAATAGAAACCAATGCTGTGAGCTAGTTAAAATTAAAATAGAGATGAGGCTGTGAATAATCAGTGTTTGGTTTTTTTCCAAACCCCTATACTTATGCAAATAAGCAAAATGCAAAATTCTAGTAATTTGTCTGGGACTATGTAGGGGGCTGGTCTGGAAATACAACGTGGCCTCTCAGCTGCCAGCAGACACTGAGAGCTGAATCTGTCAAGAGAATGGCTGGAAGGACCAGCTCAGTGTGTTATGGTGAGAGGAATCCCATCCAGGAACGGGACATCATGGACCCAGAAGTTCAAGTGGAGGTTTCTAACACAACTCCATACACTCAATCCATGTCTCTTTCCAAAGCCTCTGATTAATGCTTGGCAGAGTGACAAGGTAAACAAAGGAAAAGGAGCTGTTGGCCAGGCAAGTGAGCAGGGAAGTTCACTGATGTCTCTCGCTGCTGACATTTCCAGTAAAGCTCTCTGTGGTGCACCATTTCTAACCAGTTCCTCTTGCTGCTTTCTGAAATACCCCTTCTTACAGGCTGGGATTGAAGAGGAGGTGGGCAGGAGAGGTGAGCTGAAAGAAACATCTGCCCTCCCCACCTTTTTATCTTCCCCCTCTCCCAAAACCTTGCCACTCAGCTCAGAGCCAGTAACAGGCTCCTGCAGCAATTCCAACAGCTTAAGGGGGAAAAAGCAACACTACTAGATAACCAAAGAGGTGGTTTTTCTTTCTAATAACTATTACTTCTTAGCACACTATGTTGCAGGGTATTTTCTGAACTTAGATGTGAAACTGGACTTTCAGAGTTGCTAATCTGGCAATGGGCTTGAACATTAAATTGGCTTCATATACAACCAAAATACTGATGACATTAGTGAAAAGAAACACATTTTACATAAAGACTTCCAGGTGGCTGCCTGGACATCTTCAGGACAGGATAATAGATTGTGTTTGCTGACAACTTAAATGCAAACAATATTTCAGAACATAGCAAGGGAGGGAGTCTGACTCCATTTACCCTCCTCTCTGTAGTCACTGGAAACCTAAAAACACTTCCAGCCAAAAGCTGAGCAATTTTAGTCTGCTGTTTTCGTGTATAATATGTCATTAGGAATCAAGTGAGAAGTGGGAATCCATGATAAACCTCCAATCATTCTCCACAAGCATGAAGCTGGTTAAATATTTTTTAATTTTCATTTTTGCATTTTGGGGTTAGCTTAAAGCACTTCCTTAGAAATTGATTCAGAAATATCCCAAGAGGCTGTAGCAAAAGTATCTTCCTGCTCAGTAAAGTGCTACTGTCAAGTGAGAAGTGGGAATCCATGATAAACCTCCAATCATTCTCCACAAGCATGAAGCTGGTTAAATATTTTTTAATTTTCATTTTTGCATTTTGGGGTTAGCTTAAAGCACTTCCTTAGAAATTGATTCAGAAATATCCCAAGAGGCTGTATCTTCCTGCTCAGTAAAGTGCTACTACAACAAACACACATCAGTCTGAAAGTTTAGTTGATTCTGAAGAAATTGAATCCTCAAGGAACAATAAATTATTATATATTTTTGTCTAGATTCTGAAGGAGCTCCTTCCTCTTTCTTCCAGATTCTGTTCAAGGCTCCAGTTATACAAATGTCCTAAAATCCATTTCAACTCCAAATAAACCAACCAATTATTTTGTCTTAAAGTTTACACATGGATTATTGAAATAACCTAGTTTTAAGCTGAAAATATTGTAGAATACTCCCAACATTTGGTATCACATTTTATGAAAATCTGCCTGCAGTTCTGAAGGATGCTTGATTAGAGCTTTCTCTCTACCAAGTATAAAACTCCCCACAAGCACTGCCTGCCAAAATCTGTCCCTTTTAACATCAGTTATCCATATAGAGAGTAAAGGGTAATAGAGAGGGAAGGGGCAATATTCTTTTTAAATTTTTTTTTACCCTTTATGTACTCTGCTGTCTATGCTGCTTCCCAGACATTAATATTGTCTGCAGTGGGCTGACCCACATCATGTTTCATTTAAATGACTGTATCTAATCACTCTGTGATCCCACAATGTGTGTCTGGACATCGGCACAGCAAACACAATGGGAAGTACAGAACATGTTGGACACGTTCCTTTTTTATAGCCTGGCGTTTTGGTTGTCTCTTTTCTGAAGTCCTAGCTTGAAAAACCTCTTCCCAAAAAAAAGGAAAATATTTAAAATATACTAGTGTGGAATCAAATATTCTGAAATCTGCATTCAGTGTCTCCAGATCACCCTTTTTTAAGTCAGTTCCTCAAATGCTGCCTCTTCCAGTCTTCTTTTCTACTTGTCTCACACACCTTCATTCCTCCTTTCTGGACACTGCCTGGTTTTTGTTCAGCTGGAGCAGGCAACAGCAGGACTGAAGGGTCAGTACCTGCCTCTTTTTTCAAAATGGTAATGGAATTTACACTCTTGAGGGCAAGACTCACAGTTTCACTCAAAGACTTTCTATTAAAAACAATGTTTTAACTATGGTCATAATGGCTACTGTGAACTGGAACTATTAAGTTCCTGAACAGTCTACACAGCAATTAATTTTTAAAATCCCAGTTAGCAGATTTTGTAACAGCAACACCAATTCACTGCTTCTGAATATCACATTTGTCTCTTGGCTTTTTGGTCACCTTCTCATGTGCTGTTCTTCAAGGCATTTTCACAATTATAGATCTACTCAGTATTATCTTCTGAGGTTAGTGCTACTCTGGGCAAAAGATAGCCAGGGCTGCACAGAAAGAGAGTAAATCAAACATGGAGCATGTTTCATTATTAGACAATGCTCGTGGAGGAAAGGAGAATGGGATCTAGCCTTCATATGAGAATACAGAAGAGAATTCTTGTAAATGTTAAGTGTATTACTTCTCTCTGACCTCACCATTTCCTCTTCTTGATTCTCTCAACCCCTCAAACTAGGAATTTTTCTCTTTTTAACAGTCTTTCAGGTGGTCATGACAAAGAAATTCCTAGACTGACACATTTGAAGTTATCAGAAAAGCTCAGCATTTCCCTAACATACACATCAGTTTTGCTTCTAACTTTCTTCAATTGCTATTTTGCTTATACATTTAGGGATTCTGCTCACTTTAGAGTCTTACTAAGAAGAAACATGATGTGATGGGATGTGCACAATTAAATTCCACCAATCTTCAGCAGTTTAAACATTAAACCTCTGTCTGATCCTGCCAAAACACACTTGGCAAAGCCTGCATGACTTTCATGACAGAGTCTCCTGAGCCTCCATTATGGTCTGTGTAAAGCTCACCAATTAATTAGAGACAAAATATTGCTTTCACTTTTAGACAGGAGACAAAAACTGTTAGAATGTATCAGAAAAGGGAGGTATAATTTTGTATTTCTGAAGTATGAAGCCTACCTCTTTCTCCTGGTCTTCCTGGCTGTCCAGGGCTTCCTGGAAACCCTTGCATGCCTGGGGATCCTTGCTCACCCTGTGGCCCTGGAGCCCCTGGCCGACCTGGCTCACCAGGAGGTCCAGCAATGGTTCGTGTTGAGACAGACTGGCTTGGAATCTGGTTCAGAATCGAGTTATATCTTGCCATATGACCTGTCAGGAAAAAAAATTATAATTCTCAAGTAGCAGAGGAAAATCTGGTTCAGCACAGTTTCAGCAGAGTACTGGCAGGTTCTCAAGGCTGTGGTCTGTCATGGTTTGGTATTATGAAGTTGTGCACTTGTTGGGGGAGAAATAGTAGGTTAGGGAGTGCACAGAAAATGGAAGAACTATTGTGCAGGATTTTATGTTCTTACTTTGGCAAGGGTTTGGGAGACTTTTGTATTTTATGTCTATAAAAATTTTAAACTGGTGCAGCAGAAGCTTCTGTAAACTGTAATAGCTTGGAGACAGTTCCATCTTTTTTTTTTCAGAAAGCTGATGCTAATCAGCTCTAGTTGGACATAAATCCAGTTGAACATAAATCTAGTTGACACATAAATCTCAACTGTCTAGTCTAAAACAAACAGATCCCTTGGATATTTTGCAAAGTGTCATATTTGTAAGTAGCTGTGGCAGGAAAAGATCCATCCCAGAGAGAGAAGCATGTGGACTGTGTCGGATATTTTGCAAAGTGTCATATTTGTAAGTAGCTGTGGCAGGAAAAGATCCAGAGAGAGAAGCATGTGGACTGTCCGTGCACTTGCCTTGGATGAGCTGCTCACACACTTGACGAGCAACAGCCCGGACCATTGCTTGGGACTGGAGATCACCCTGGACAACAACAGCAGCAGATCAGGAAACAGTTTCCTGAGTCAGTTCTGTGCTGACAGCACTTTGAGCAGAGAAGGATATTTATTATTGCTGAGACATTATATCCTCACAGATGAGAAAGGAAAGCCAAAGAAATTTTGTGATTTCACTGGTTCCCATTTCTCTATTTGGCCAGCAATCAGAGATCTGAGAAGATAACTCTAATGAGAGATTTGGAGGCATGCTTGCTGCCACATACTTCCCACCTTCAAAACATTAATGTAGCTATGTAAAAGAACATGTCTGTAAAAGAATGAAAGTTTGTGTAATTGCAAAGAGAAAACTACTCTGCCTGTAAACACAGAGAAACATAATTTTTTTTGGAAAAGCTCTTTATGAGACAGAAGGCCAGGCAGGAAAAAAACCCCGCAGCAAAGATGAATATAGACTTACCCTTTCACCCCTTTCCCCCTTAGCTCCAGGAGGACCCTATGAAAAGATTTAATGCAAAATTAATTCTCATTTTGTTCTGTTCAAAATTTTTAATGCCTGAACTTCGTGTGCCTTGCAGATTCATAGTAAAGGGAGAAGAAATAAACAATAAACAACTTTTCAGGAGGTTATATGACAGTGACAAATACACTTCTATCATTTCAGTACTCAATAAATGTTCACCTTTGGCAATTACATGGGAACAATGACTTTCACAAGTGTTTGCTACACACTGAATTCACTTATTCAAAATGATAGCAAGGTCAGGCTTCCACATGATGCATTTCATATGGCTGAAACAGGTCTAATTTTTTTCAAAATAACAGCCTGAAATTTGCTGTACTGATACTCTGCATCCACTATGACCAGAGCGAGCAATGGGATTAAACTGCACAGAAAATTGTGTTTGACATTAAGGATAATGTGAAACCATAATGATTGTGAGGAGGATTATGGATTGAAACAAGTTGTCTAGGGCAGTTGCAACTTCACCAATGTCAGTTTTTGGGGTAGGCTGCACATTTCTCAGGAACTCCTGAAGCAAGGAGAGGTCTGTTGGTCAGAGCTAAATAACACCAAGGCCATGGGCTCAAGCCTGTATGGGCCATCCACTTGAGAGCTGGGCTTGATCCTTGTGGTTGCTGACAGATACATGGTTAAGCACAGCTTATTCTATTCTTGGAGAGAGGAAACTCCTACAAAGACTAAAAGACTATTTCTAAGGACTCTATTCTATAACTCTACGTTTTGGAATAGAAAACTCAGTAATTTTTCAGCCACCTGTTTTTTTCTGCACTACTAGAGTCTAACCATGCACAGCAGAGCTCTTGCATGACTCACAGGAATACCTACATTCTAGAAAATTTTGTTCAGTATCTGGAACATGTGTTTGGACAGGAACTGCATAGTCAACATATTATATATTGATAGTAAAGGTTCCATAGCTCATCAAATCTCCTTTATAGATTCCATGTTTACATTTAGAAACTATGCAGAACTGGGCATTTAGATTATTATATTTGGTTATATATTATCAGTCAATTTAATTTCAATTCCACTTAACCGAATGAAAATGCTTGCATTGGCCTAAATCTCCAAACCAAACTGGATTTTGGAAAAAAAAAATTATATTCTACAAAGAGTCAGAAATACATGCTGTCCCATTCTGATGTCTTTAAAAATTAAATAGGATGTTTACTGTAATAGATGGGGAAAAGCTGAGCAGGCTTTATAATTAAACAAGCAGTCAAATGTTAAAATATGAATACATAATATTGTCTGAATTCTTACAGAGACAAAAAAGTCCACAATAAATATTCTGTTTTACATAAAATACACATTGATTTCATAACTGTATTCGTTTCTTCCTGTCAAAATGTCTTGTTCTGGGGTTTTTAAAATAATTCATAAAAAATAACATCGAGATATAAACTTAATAATGGACGGTTCGTAATACTAATTTTAGATATAGAGGATATAATTTTCCAAAAATTAGATAAATTATATAAAAAGCCCTAGCAATTAGTAATTTGTTCTGGTTTAAACACAGAGTAAACTCAAAAGCCAAGTTTTTATTCATATATTATTTTCACAGTTTGGAAATCAGAATAATATTTTGGAAATATTCAGGTTAACAAATACTTGAATTTCCAGAGAGTCGCTGGAAGGGCAAAGGGAAAAAAAAAAGAAGAATGTAATTACACAAAGACTACAAATTCACATAGTTGTGTTTTTAACTTCTGTGTTTTAATCTTGTGTTTTGACTCTAATCCCTATATTCCAAACATTGTATGTAAGATCAACAAATATATTTAATTACAAAGAATGAACAAAGAAAGGTCAATATGATGTTTAACTTAGCCACTAACTGCAAACAGATCACAGGCAATAAATATTGAGGAGTTCTGTCAAACAGTGAAGCCAGGCTCAGAAACCAACCAATGCACAACAGCAGACAGGGAAATACCAGTTAGTTTTACTTACAGGAGCTCCAACATCACCTTGTGGCCCCTGACTTCCAGTAACACCTGGAACACCTGGAGCACCAGGTATGCCCTGTGTGGAAAAAGAAGAGGAAAATAGTGGTGATGACAATCAACATCCATGAGTCCTGATGAGAAGAAGTGCACAAACATTTCTGTCAGTCAAAGACTGAAGATTCCCAGGGAGAAAACTAAGAAATACAATTTGCAGGAAAAAGAGCACCATAAGCACAGCTCTGAGAAAAACACTTGATAAAAATAATTTGGGTTGCTTTCTGGAACAGGCAGAAATTGCTGAATCACTGGACTAAATCCTGTGATGTCAGTACTGTGTTCAGGGGGGATGACTCAGAATGTTCTTTGTGGAAAACAACAAGATGGCTTGGAGAATACTCAGTACAACCATCAGCTTCATCTTATCTTTTAAATCTATTAAGGATGCGTTAACTTTTCCTAGCTGCCCTAAATGAGAAGACTGAGGCTGATTCTGAAGGCAACATATATCCTGCACTAGAGGCAGCCTCTGCTGTCTTCCTTGATTACTCTGTGAGGGCACCTGTGCTCACCTCCAGCCTCCAAACCAAGTAAAACTTGGTGGTTCACTTCAGCTAACAGTCCTATTTGGAATTTTTGACAAAAAGAAAGTCTTGTTTCAAATGTTAAAAGCAGTAATTCCCTCTTTATAGTGCAGTTGCTTGACTAAGAACAAGATATCAATCTATTGACAGAACAACTCTCTCCCCTTCCCATGGGGAGGCATTTTCCTCTTGAGCTAAGTAAGAGTGGAAAGAAATTACACTGGACAAGCAGCTCTCTGCCAACTCTGTGTATCAAGAGAATTCTGACTTCCCTTGGCTTGCTCTATCCACTGCAGCACAGATAACAGTGTGACCTGTAATCCCCCCAAATCCTGCTGACTTTTGCACTAAGAAATTCCATGGGAAATACTCACCATTGGGCCAGGAGGTCCTTGTGGGCCTGTGGGTCCATCCTTGCCAGGAAAGCCCTGTAAAAGATAAATAAATGCAATTTCATCAGCTTTTTATATGTACTTCACAAATCTGTTCTGTTTAATCTAGAAGAATTTTTTTACTTTTGTTCTTTGGTTTTGTTTTGCTTTGTTGTTGTTTGTTTGTTTTCTAAATTAATACCTGTTGGTAGTGGTCTCTTACCAAAAAAATTTCCTTCTTTGCACTGGGGAGGGTTTATTTCTGAAAAAGAAGCTATAGTGCTACCAAGATTAAAAAAAAAACAAACCAAACTAAAACAAAAAAAGACAGCTAGTCACATAATTTTTTTTGAAGAAAAGACAATACCAAATTCTTCATACTGGCAATTCTCACTTAGAACACTTCTGTAGGGAAATAAACGAGAGGGTTTGCTGTAAAAGCTCTCTACCACAAGGTCATGTTTCTGCATCTGTTCTCCCTGGCTGCAAGCATTCCCCGTGCCACTGATGAGGTGCTGAAGGAAGGCAGCAGAGTGGATTCTCTGCCCGGCAGTGCTGCTCCTGCGCTCCCGCTGTCGCTGCGGTCCTGCTCAGGGAGCAGCGGGAATGCTCATGTGGTTCCCATTAGGAACGTGCCTCAGAGCTTCCAGAAGTGAGAGCCAAAAACTAAAGATAACTTGGAAACTGGAAAGCCAGTACATCACAGAAAAAAAACACTGACCAGATGTAGAAGAAAATACACTATTAATAAAGTGTTCTTTACTTTACGTAAGATAATTTGGTTAATACAAATTAACCAATATGTGCACTTTGTATACACGTGCTATAAAGCTTGGGTTTCTGACCAGCCTGGTGATTAGACAATTCTTTAATTACTATGCAGCCTGAACAGGAGATATATGGTTTTACCTCTGGCTGAAGACCAGTTTGAAAGGTGGTTTATGCTAGAAAGTGTTTGGTTTATTGCTGAAATGTTTGAAAATGTTTATGGTGACACACACAGTAAAGAACATTCCAGGTTTCAGTATCTCATGGAGCTTCAGAAGAAAAATTTACAACTTTTTTTGTTTGTACTTTTTTCCAAATCTTTGTTTCTGACATAGTTTTAGTAATGAATATAACATATACTACTAGTTTTATGCTTTGCACAATTTGGAAACTATTATTCAAATCTGCAATCATATGGAATAAAAAATGGCTGGTGGGAGATATTATCTCCCATATACCTGGAAAGGTTTTTAAAAATCTCTGGTGGACAGGTGTTTTGATGATAAAATAAGCCACATAATCCACTCACATTACGTTATCTTGGTATCCTTAGACTTGACAGGAAATACCTTCATATTCCACAGTGTAGCCAGATGAAGCTGACACCTTCATGTTTCACTTTTTAAAGCAAATATGTAAAACCTCTGTTTATTTTTGCTCAGTTCCAAAGCAGGATGAAAACTCATTTGACCCTTTTAAGGGCTTAATTTAACTAGGGGGAGGGAAAATAGTGCTTTCCACTGACTTCTAGGATGTAGTGTAGATTTACAGGTTTCTAAAGAAAAAGAAAACTGTACGTTTTTCTCTTCTGCTACCCCAGTCAAAGAGTAGAATTAACAGTATGATCAGCAATATATTTTCTTGGAATATATTTCACAATTCCTTTCTTCTGAGCAGTGCTCTTACTCCTGGCTGCTCAGTAATCACCTCCTGTCTATTCTCCTAGGGTTTATTTCTCTTGGCATTGTGTCTGTATCGCCCACAAAAGATCACCTCTCCTTCACTTTCTAGATGTGAAAATTGCTATATATGTAAATAAAATAAATCAAATACAAGCCTGGTTCAAGAAAGAATATGGCAATACCTATTCTCTTATGCTGGTAAAAGACTAAAAGTATTTGTTTATACTGCCAGCAGCATTTGAGGATGATGTTACTCAGACCACCTGATGGCCAGAATGGATCTGACACTCATTCTGAACTTTTGAGCTGAGAGCAGAGATTAGTAAGTACCAGGAAATTGGCAGGAAGAGTGGGAATTTATTTCTTCTGGCTCTTTCTCCCATAATTTTTGGTGTGTGTAATGTAGAAGAAAATAGAGCATAGTGAGAATTCACAAAGTTGCGTTCTGAGTACTGAAGCCTGGTAGATGCTATTTAATCTCCCATTTATTGAATTCTCCTCTTTGCTTAACCACCTCTAAACCAAGGGAAATGACTGGAGGAATTACATAGCACACTGGAGGAATTACATATTTCTGTCACATCCAGGACAGAAATGACTCTGCACAAAGCCACTGATTCTCTTCCATGGAACTGCATGTCCAAAAACAGGAGAGGACAGATTTTGATGTGTGACCCAGGATGTAGGTCTTAGAATCAAATATCATCTTATATAAATAGAATCTTATATCATTTTGGAAAGTAAGTTTAAATGAAGACATATTTTGCTAATGGCATGAAAAGAAGTTCTAGAGAAAGAGTGTAGCTCTGACAGAAATTTTAGAAGGGATTTTATTTGCCAAAATACAAATGGCATCACCAGTAAAATCTCAAGGGTGCTGAAATCAGTACTGCTGCTGACCTCATTATAAACTCTTGAGCTTTCTGTAGCCTGGAATTTGTTTGGGGCAACTTGTGGAGAGGTGACTTTTCAAGTAGGACTAGATATCAGAAAAAACTTAACTGAAGCTACTGAGCCAGGTTTGAAAGACTTTAATGTAGAGCCTTTTAAAAACCCCTGCAGCCTGGGACACATGACTGCCAATTCAAGATCTGTGTTTCAACATGAAATGCTTGGGACTGCTGGTGGAGAAACGAGATCTGTTCTCTTTAGTAAAACTCCCCTATACTGCTAGCTGCAAATATGGGGCAGCAAGAAAGGACACCAAACAACCACAGCTCCAGCCACACAATAAAAATAAGCTGTTTTACATCTATAACATCTTTCCTGACACTCTGGAAGCTGATGAGAGAGCAAGGGACTGTTCCTCATGTGGAGTCTGAGATATAGATTTAAACAGATTACCAGACAGGTATAAAATATTGTCATGCATATTCAGAATATTTGCTTTATTACCAGAAAAAAACCTTTTATTTTTACTCTGATTCAACCTTCCAAAGTATTTTATTACATCCCATTCTTCTTCATAGGGAGGGTATGTCATTCTGAAATGACCTTTTTATGAATTCACATAACTGACAGGGAAGCTGCTCTATTTCTTTCTAAAACCAAGAAAAAGCAAATAAGTCAGGAACTAAAAACCAAGTTCAGAAATACAAAAAAAAAAATTTTACAGATTAAGTGTTGAATTACAACATTAAGAAAGGAAAATCAAACCCCTTCCTCAACTGATTTCAAAAAGAAAATCAGAAAGTATGAACACTAGAAAGCAAAACAAAAAGAAGAGAAAACAAACTATAAAAGTGAAGTGATTCCAATTATCTGGAACTGAAGGAAAAAGAATCTCAATTCCAGCACTTCTTGAGTCTAATAACACATTATACCCAGTTCAAAGTTCTCAGAGATCTCCCAATAAATATCAGCCCTATGCTTACCACCCATTAAAATCAGTGTGATTTAGCAACCTGTCTAAGCACTCTACAGCACTAGTACCACTATAATTAAAATATTTAAAGATCAATAAATACTAAAGAGGAAGGGATAAGTAAGCTAAGAAAAACATAGAAAATCCCAGTTCTAGTATATAATACTTGCAAAACAGTTTGGCATCTTGACTAACAGGAGGAAACCCAACAAAAGGAACATTAAAAAAAGGCAATTTACTCCTCAGGAATTTTCCAGTTTCCCTTTGCTGCTGCAGTTATGCCCTTCAGAATTATCTCTTTTTTAAGTGCTGGGTCTTCAAAGAGACTGCGGTGAAATAATTGGTTTGGATCTTTGCCCATTAAAAGCAATTTCATGTTGTCATAACTTCACAGGAATCAAATGAGTTACAACACCATAAAATCAGTGTAGCATAATTATTTGTTGCCATAGAAATAATTACAGCTGGACAACATTGCATAAGGGTTGTACAGAGACAATACTGGGCTAACAGAACTAATTTTATGAGCTCTGGGCTCTTTATCCAGCTCCCATGATTAGCAGCACAGAAGAAAGAGAACACACAAACAAAGCATTATTACTGTATCTATAAAAACAGGCAATTTATGTAATTGCCCTACCTTTTTATAGACAACACTGGGGTATTCTACAGAATAAACACCATATGACTATTCCAGGCTGCATGAAAAACCTTTGCTGCACTCATCTTCCTCGGCTTTTCTCTGGAACACCATCTTGGCAACAACCTGGAAACTCCCACGTGTGGGAGAATCACTCCTGAACTGCTGGCTGCCATCAAGGCATGGCTGAGGGCACCCTCTGCTAAATATGAATTCAGCTACAGAATAACATCAAAGCACAGAGTTCTTTTCTCCTTGAACTGCAGCTCCTCGATGTCCCTCATGTTCAGGAATGTAAGGGGAGGAGCACTCCCTTGTACAATGTTTGGCACCATCTCAACTCGTCCAGGACCAAGACCAGAGGGAACAGGGCAAAAACCCAAATGTTCATCAGGGTTCAGGTCTCTGTTAACCTGGAGATGAACAGGTGGCATGAAAGTTGGGTAATTTAGAGGGAAATATTCCAATGGAGCCAAAAAGAAGACACAAAAACATGTAAAACCATAATACATCACAGTATTATAAACTAGGGGGGAAAAATGCATTTACGTGCATACTTCAATACAATTTAATTGAAAATTAGAAGGCTATTCCTCCAATTAGATTATTCATCTGATGATACTATCGCATAAATCTTTGTATTAATAAAATGCCTTTCTTTTCTTGATTTGTAGAGGAAAAAAAAAAAACATTTTTTTATTGCCCAAATTCTACAGTAACTTCAGTGGAATTACTTCTAGACGTAAAGATATGCCAATGTTTAAATTCATAATAGTGAGTTCAAATGCATGTTTTGCTACAGGGTTTGGGGTTTTTTATAACAAGGTCAGAAAATCAAAGAATTCCCAGATTTCTCTGAAGTTCAATTTACATTAACATTTCCAAAAAACGGATCATGAATATGTAAATCTTGCTCAAATGAAACTGGAAAGTTATATTTCATAATGAACTTCTGCTGTAGACAGAAATCTAGTACTATGCTAACAACAACTTTCCAGAGTCTGACTAATAATGAAACAGAAGTCTCCCCAAGGAGACAAAGAAGAGGACTTATAGGCTTAACTGCACAAATGAAAATTAATTTTCTTTTACTGACTCCTAGACAGACTGTAAGTATCTTCAGCTGTTTTAGCAGGAGCAGAATAAGATTGACTAAATTTTGATATTTTTTTTACCTTTTCTTCATGTCAACTGTTTCTGCAGGTATCATTCTACATTCAATGCTAAATTCCCTTGTCTCTGTTTCATTACATAGCTAGAAAGCAAATTTAGATCATTGTCTTGGATTGCATACTAATTATACACCATTTAACAACCATTTAGTTTTAAATATATAAGCTAAGAGATTAATTGGCAATGCTGAACACAAGTGACATCTACTTCTACCAAATGCATAAAGCACAGGCATGGTGCAGGGCTCCCATCACACATCTCAACCCTCAGCAGCAGACAGAAGGATGTCCACCCTCCTGTGCCCATTGGCACAGAGAGATGGTCTCCAGAAAGGACAGAGGTGGCATAAATTATAAAATCCACCATATTAGGAAACATTTCTCTTACATAATGGGAGTAAAACACATGTAAAACATACATATTTTAGCTTACCCTTTGACCTTGAGCTCCATCTCTTCCTGGCGAACCTGAAGCTCCTGGGACACCCTAAGCATTATAAAAGGAGAGAAAATAATTAGCTCAAATGAACAGAATCCAATTAATTTTCGAGTGAAACCGTATGACATGTTTTGGATAAATGGAACTAGGAAGCTCAATAATGGGTGGCTCAATAATGGGTGGTAATGAATCTCATAGAAGAAATTCAGTAAAGATATTTCTGTGAAATGAGAGATAGGTAAACACACACCATTAAAATGCAGAGGGGTTGAGTCTACAGAGACACAATTTCAGCATTAAACAAGAAAGTAACCAACTCTTCAGGCCCAAGTGAATCAGCTGCTGCACACCAGCATACCCTGGATTCCTCCTCTTTCTAAAACCCTGTTCAAACTCACCCCAACAATACATTTCTCGGCAGTTTGTAAAATGTGCCCTAAACTCACAATGATGTCAATTCAACATTCAAACTTCGTAAGTGACAGGGTATACAACAGGAAATACCTGCAGGCCAGGAAAACCAAGATCTCCCTTCTCTCCCTTTTCACCTGGTGGCCCCTGCAAATAAACAATCACACATAGTAAACCAAATATATGGTTACTTTTCTATTTTTAAATAACTGCTCTTATAATTAAAGTATTCTTATTATTCTCTATGACAACATAATCAAGAATATACAGCTCCGGTAAGCCATTATATTTTTCATTAGTACTATATAGGCTGGGAAAAGGATGAAATTTCATTATAATATAGTAAATTTTGAAAAAAAACCAAACTAGCAGAAAGTAATATATGTATTACTACTTTTCTAGGCTTGTCTGTACCCATCTCCTGGAGACATGTACAAAACAAGATAAGTGCTACTGGTTCATTGTTCTAACAATGTTTATCTATGATGAAATTCTCTGAATTATTTCACAACAGCCTTACAAATCCAGGTCTAATCACTTCCTCTGAGGATAGATTTTATTATGTAATTAATATTATTGCTTAATTTTGGCAGAGAATATGGTGTTCTTTCTTGGGTACACCTTTCAAGTCAGAACTGATCTGCAATGAGCAGTACAGCCAGAAAAAGAGAAAATATGAACAATTTGGTCTAGTGCCATGTCACAACCCCCACTGCAATTTATTTTCACTTGACTCCAGGCTTGGATACTAGTACCCAGGTCATATTCAACCTGTAATCAAATACTTTCAGCTGACTAAAAATTCAGTTCAAAATAAAAAACCAGAAATTCTGGCATCAAACCCACATTTGATAGAGGTCAAACCCACATCTGTGATTTCACCTCAAGTACTGAAATTCAGATTCTGATCACAACAGCAAAAGCTATTTCAGTCTAGTCTAAGCCATTTGCTGTTTAAAAGATCACAGAAAAATGCCTATTGATTTTTTAAGTCTCACTGGAAGTCCTTGAATAGAAAGTCCACTGGGTCCTTGTGGTCCGGGAGGTCCCTGTGGCCCAGGAACACCAATTTCACCTCGAGGTCCATCTGGTCCCTAAAGTAGCACAGGACATAAGTTAAACTCTTATCATATGGACAAAGGCAGCTTCTGTTTGAAGAATTAAATACCAATAGATTCAAAAACATCTGAAATATGAGTTAACATGATTGAGCAGTTAGGGTTCAATTTAAAACTGTCTGGTTTCTTTATAAACACTAAAAAAAGAGGATGATTTATTCTGTGAAAGCAGCATTCTGAATTTGATGTCTTTCATCAAGGAACAAATAGGACAAGTAATTGTTTTGAAAAGAGCCACAGTAAATGCCAGTGACATTTCACTAGGCTTTTTCCTCAAAAACACCAGAGACAATCTGGAATTCATTTCAAGGTCTCCATGAAGAAATAAACCGAGAACCCATGCATCTGTCAAATTAGAGTGCTTTGAAAAGTACCTTTGGACCTGGATCACCACGATGACCTTTGGCACCTCTGACACCTGGACCACCCTGTAAAGCACAAGCACGGGACTCACTGAAAACCAAAACTCTCCAACAGAAATGAAATCCAGAGAAGCCCAAACAGATTCTTCCTTTTCCTGAATCAGTACTCAAGAATCAGTAAATATCCTTCCACTGGAGCAATTAAACTGGAACATACTGAAGTGTGGCCATACACAGGAACAGATTTAAACACAGATGTGACTACTTCTTAGAGCCAAGAATGCGCACTACGTAAGAATCAAAATTACACTGAAAGCTATGATATGGATGGAAATGTGGTCATGGTTCCCTTCCAGTTGCTGAAACCTCCTGCACATCTGTCTGTTCTCACCAAAATCACATTGTTAAAGGCTGAGTTTCCAGAAAGGCCAAAGGCATCCTGGCCTGGATCAGATACAGTGTGGCCAGCAGGACCAGGACAGGGATTGTCCCCTGTACTCAGCACTGGTGAGGCCACACCTCGAGAGCCGTGTCCAGTTCTGGGCCCCTCACTACAAGAAGGACATTGAGGGGCTGGAGTGTGTCCAGGGAAGGGCAACAGAGCTGGGGAAGGGTCTGGAGCACAGCTCAGGTGAGGAGCAGCTGAGGGAGCTGGGGGTGTTTAGCCTGGAGAAAAGGAGGCTCAGGGGAGACCTTGTCACTCTCTACAGCTCCCTGAAAGGAGGCTGCAGCCAGGTGGGATCGGTCTCTTCCCCCATGTAACAATGACAGGATGAGAGGAAGTGGCCTTAAGTTGAACTGTGGGAGGTTTCCATTAGATATTATGAAAAGTTTCTTCACAGAAAGGGTTGTCAAGCTTTAGAACAGGCTGCCCAGGGACATGGTCGAGTCACCAGCCCCAGAGGTGTTTAAAAAGCATGTACATGTGGCACTTGAGGACATGGTTTAGTGACAGACTTGGCAGTACTGGGTTAATGGCTGGACTCAATCATCTTGAAGGTCTTTTCCAACATAAACAGTTCTATAATTCTGTGATTCTAATGACTTAGGGATAGTTTTCAGCAAGGACAACTCCAGAGCCTACTAGACATACAACATGGTTTAATTTGGAGCTGTTCTTACTTAAAATGCTCTTTTGGACATTTTTCTCTCTTTTGCTTTCTTCAGGAATTCCTACATCTGCTCATCATTTATTAATCAACTTTTTCTTTTTTTATTAGTATCATCTGAGACACTGGAGTACCATATATCTGTGGATGGCTGCCATAAATGTGTTTTGCAACAACATCTACATGTGCTTTCTGTTCTAGGACAGCATAAATAACTTTTTTTAACATAAATTTCCCTCTTCCCCCATCTGAGTATATTGCCTAATCTCTTGGAATATGAGCTTTACAGGTATTCTGCCTATCATTGTACTCAGAAAGGACCTTGTACAACTAGACACCATGGCTGAATAGAACTCTTAGGGGCTACAATATGTGCTTACAAAAATAACAGCAGTTAAATTAAACAAGAATAGAATAGAAAATGTGATTATATGCAGTATCTATGAGACTTTAAATAGGAGAAATAACAGAAATGTCTGGAAATCCCAGAGTACCTTTGCTCTTCAATGAAGGTGTCATGACATGATCTTCACATGCATGAACACAGAACAATTTTCCACTACCTCTCCCAGCTCCCTCAGGCTTCTCTCTTCCGTCCCACATCTCTGTGGCCACAACTCATTGAACCACGGCCAGCTCTAACCCTAAAATCTCATCCCATGCTCTCCATGGAACCAAGTTCCAATTGCCAGTTGCAAAATTCCAGATACTCATATTTCTGCGTTCCAGTCTGCTGTTCTTTCTCCTTCCTCTGCCTTACTCCTAACTCTGAGATCAAAAAATTCCTCAGCACAATAACTGCAACTTTTTGACATAAACACAATCACATTTTTCCCCATTTTGTTCTCATAAATGCATTGCATTTTTACTAAGAATATATGCTTAGAAATAGCCTGATGCGGAGCCATTAAATGATGTGCTTTCAGATTCACGCTGAAGTTGGTACACTTGTCCACATTATGAACCCAGTAATCTTGCTTGGGAAAAGCACAACTTCCAGAAGAACATTTATTTAAGATGAAAACATCAGAAGAGGCCCCCTCACCTTTTTCATAAACTTGTTTTGGTGGTTATTCCCCAGCACTACTAAGCCTGTGTGATTAATTTCAATTTTTTCTTTTTGTGCTTCTTCTTTTTGTGGCCAATTCATATTATGCCTTCCCTTATTTTGAATAACTTCTTAGCAGCCAGTTCTTTTCTCCAGAAACAGGTCTTAATCTACTGTTATCAAGACACTTCCTCATTTCTTTTAGTAATCAAAACCTATGAAGCATTGAAAGCTTTTTTATTTTTGGCAATTAAACTTCTCCAATCCTTCAACAATTTTGTCTCCTTCCCCTTTGTCAGTTCTGTGACACTGCTTTCAAATGCAGGCATTAGTTTTCTATGTTATCTCATTTTTACTTTGTGTAGGGAACTTCAGACAGCAGGATTAAATTCTGCCAAAAATGAAGCCGTAAAAATAGCATCCCATGATGAAAATTGTCAGATCATCTTAACTCTAAACAACACTTTGTCTTACCTGAAGTGATGTATTTTCTAAAAAGTTTAAAATTCTTTCTAGAGCTACTGTCCCAAACAAAGGGAAGCATTTTATTTGGAGTGGTTTTAGCCTAATGTCTAAAACTGGCTACATGGTAGGATCCTGATCTCTTAAACAGAAGAATCCTTGGCTTGGAGAAAAGTCACATGACATTTTAATGACTTGGAGCTCTCCTGACCAGACATAGCACATATGACTTTCTGACTTTTGGTTGGCGCACAGATGAACACTGACTTCATTTTTTTTTTTTTTCCAGAGCTCTACCACCTAACTGTCTGACAAAAAAGCATCACTTACAACAGGCTGAGTTCTAGAATCACATATTTCCCTGCCTTGGCAGTGATGATTTTTCTGCTTGATTTTTAAGCTTCCTCTTGTCTGGCACTATGCTATTCAAAACACGGTTAATCCGAAATGTAATATATAGAAGTACATTATTTTACTACTGGGTTAAGCCTTAGCAATTCCTGATCCATATATCTTTTGAAATATAGTAATAGACATCCTTCCAGCCAAATAATTTTCAAACATTTTTCATTTTACTGTGAAATGTGGTCAAACTACTCAATTTAAGTGCCATTTTTTTGTGAATTATCCCATTTTTTACAGAACGGAAACTGGATGCTAAAATGTGGGAATTAAAACTTTAATCCATACTCATTTAATAACCTATATTCGAATAGGAGAACAGAATAATTTCTCCTTGTTTAAGATGCAGCTCTTAAGTGAACTTCCTCTTGAATTTCTTTCCAGCTTTTTGTACCAGAGCTTGAAGAACAGTTCTTGCAGAAAGAACACCCTCTGAGCTGTCAGGAGGATAATGTCTGCTAGGACCTATGATCTGAAGGCCTTCTGTGCAAGTCAATTTTGTTGTTAAACATGCATCTCATGTAATTTGTGTACTTTAACACCAAAAACATTTCCCTTCACTTCTTCCCTTTCTTTCATTTAACAACACACTCTTGGAGTATCCAGGACACAGTAGGAGCCAAGAAATATGCAGTTCAAACTTTTCACAAGAGAGCCTCATCTCAAACTCACTCAGCAAGCAGCTCTAAGATACCAATTATATTTATCTAGTTGTAACAGAAAAAAAACATGACCATTCAGCAAATTTCCCAGTCAGGATTCTTGTCAAACCAAATCAATAATGGACAACCACAGAGCCTTTCTAAATTGATAAAAAACAGCCTTGGGATGCAAAATTGAGTTCCCAAAATTTAGTGGGCCTGAATCTCCAGTGTTTGGGCTAATGCATTGTCTGAGTTTCCACAAGTCAGTAAAGAGAAAGGAGATTTATTCCATCTAAGATACTATACTGACACAGAGGGAAAGTTAAATAATTGTCTTCTACAAGAGACTATCTAGTTCCAGACAAGGAACTTAGACACACACTTACTTAACACCTGCACAGCAAACTCTTAATGAGTGCCATCAAAACAACACCACTAAGCATATGTAAAAGTTGTAACAGTGTACATTTCATCATTCACTGGAAAATTAAAAAAAAAAAAAAATCAACATTCCACAAAGGCAGATTATTTCATTATTTCTTCCCTTTATGGCTCTTAGATGCCTATCTACCTTTAAGAACTCTCTTACAGAAGAACCTGTACTTCCATTTCTATTTTCCAACAAATATTTTACTTAGGTAGGCCGAGTGCCATCAAAACAACACCACTAAGCATATGTAAAAGTGTATATTTCATCATTCACTGGAAAATTTAAAAAAAAAAATAATTTAATTCAACATTCCACAAAGGCAGATTATTTCATTATTTCTTCCCTTCATGGCTATTAGATGCCTATCTAAGAACTCTCAGAAGAACCTGTACTTCCAGTTCTACTTTCCAGCAAATATTTTACTTAGGTAGGCATTTTAAGACAGAAAAGTCTTCTTTCATCACATACTACACAAGTGGCATTGTCATGTTCCATATCTTTAATTGATAAGAATTCTGTAAACTGAGCATTTCCGAAATCTAAACTCCAAGCTATATTTAATACACACCTGCTAGAGTAGACAGGCAGAGGTGATTAAAAATTTGAAAATAAAAGGCACTACCTATGAGGTATCTAATGCTACAGACATGTAAAAGGGTTCCAGGTCTAAGGAATACCCCAACTGCTTCAGCATAATCCTTCCTTACATAATTCATAGCATCTTCATCAAAAACTGAATAGAATTTTATCTCTTTACCAACACTTGAAAGTGTAATTTAACCTTATTAGTTATACAATGGCAGTATATTCACAGTATTGAAATAAAGGTGGACTATTGTGTACAGTTCAGTACAAAGCTGAATAAAACCTTACCGGTGGTCCAGGAGGTCCCAGGGGACCCTTATTGGCTTCTGAACAGGAACAAGCATGAGGAAGGGCGGGGCAGTTTTCCTCATCTCTCTATGAAAAGGTTAAGATAGAAGAATGATGTACAGAACTTCAAATGCTAGGTATTTTATCAATCTAAGACACAGTACTCAAAAGCACCCACTTGATTTAGAAAAATATGTCCAATTGAATTTCAATAGTAAGCAAGTAATCCAAGCAGAGATGAGCTTTTTCGAAAACTTTTAAGCATCCATTTCCAATAAAACATTTGTCTCAACAAAGTAGAAAATAAAAGGTAAATTCTGCAGTTATTGAAAGAGGTTTCTTACCAAGCCAGGAAGTTCACAGCATTTGTCTCGATTGGCCCATGAGGTAGCACAAATGATGTCAAACATCTGTAACTGCAGCTGTTTCAAAACAAGGGTGATGTACAATATGACTGTTAAAGGTAAGATCAGTGCAAAATGGAGCCATCAGCAAGCAAACCCAACTTGATTCAAGCACTCAGATTAGACAAAGGCTTTTTGACTTTGAGCAGCAAGCCACAAATACCACACTGAAATGGTAAATCCACTGCTTCTACCAAATGTGTGTCCAAACAACTCATCTGAGCTATCAGACATTGCATGAATTGAGTAAAGCTGTTCAAGGTTAAATACTGCATGCATTTGTTGAATTTTCCCCCACTCCTTGCTTACATTCCTTATTTTGTCCAATGGTGTAGTTGAGTATCTTTTTATAGCAAAAAAGACATCAAGAGTCAGGCAAAAGAGAGTTTAGCTTCTCTGAATAATTCCTCTTGACCCTCTGGTCTGCTGTTCAGATTTTATCTGGGACAAGGTCTTCTGTAGGCTATTACTTATACTGGAGCTGAGCCACAAATAATATTTCTCATTTTTCCAGTTTAATTTTACTTTAGAATATGCCCTCTCTTACCCATATTATCCCCAGGCAATGATAGCTTAAGAATGGGGAAAAGCTTGCCCACCATGTGACAACATTGGGCAGAAAAGAAAATTCCCATCACGGGTCTGGGAACATGGTTTGGACAAGAATTTAATCTGCAAGAACACAGACATATGCTAAAAATAGTGGCTGCTAGATACTCAGAAACAATATAATAAAAAGGACTCAGTGGTAAAACCAATTATCTCCTTTACAGGCCTCGCTGAACAAAGGGGTCTAGAGAGATGCTTTCTTCTGTTACTATTTCTATTCTTTGTCCATGCCTTGTTTATGTGCATGCTGAATAGAGAATGGTATGGAACAGAACATCCCATTAAATTAACCCCACATGTTAAAAAATTCGAGGAACTGCTAGAGACAGAATGCTGGGTTTGTTCCCATTATTTTCAGTGGCATTATTTTAAGATCAGAACAGAGGAATGAATTTTAAAATTTTCTTATGACTGCATTGCTTCTAAAGCTGTTAAAATGAACTACATATGTGCACCTTTGGTTTTGCCTCCTTTTTTTTTCTTATAAAAGTAAAATATTATCTTTTAAATAAAGGCATACTTTCATATAAATAGACATTTTTCTCATCTGCCAGCACATTAGCAGGTTTGTAGATTTGCTATAGTACAGATGCAGACACAATGGGCTGGCACCATGCAAACCACCTCAGACAGCTGAAGTGCAGCATGAAGGCAGCATCTGCACTCTCAGTTTGGCTCCATGGAGACCCACCCTGAGTCCAGCAGGTCTCTGTCCATGCCTGTGTCAAATGGAAGCTGGCTCCACGTGGAGCCACTTAAGTCTCCCTCTTTGCTGCACACCCCAAAGCTCCTAATTCCAAGAGGCCCCACTAGTGCAGCAGCAGACAAAAGTTCAGGCACACACTGCTCTGGGACACAGGAATCTGGGCATTTGCAAGACTGCTGTTAACCAAATCAGACACCACAAAAATGGGGTGCAGCAACACCAGAGCCAGTTCTGTAGAGAGCACCTTAGGTTCAGAAGTTAAGTTGCATTGCCATTTCGTTCCATCATCCAGTCCATCCCCAGCTACTCTGTTATCCTGCTCAATGGCAGGATGAAAACATTTATACATAAAGGTGTGTACATGTATTTGTCTGGACTAGGAAATGTGGACATCCATAGGAATAAAGTATGTTGGTGTAAATTAAAATGCAAACAGACATTTTCTGAAATGCTGTATTCACCAACCAAATGCTGGATGACTCAGTAGCCTTTTGTAAAAACGTCATGTGGGTTGCTCTGACTCAAGCTAAAATCCAAAACAAAGCTTTCTTTGCTACTCTTAAACATTTATTCATAAGTCTATGCATTCATAGCGATTTTGCTTTCTAAATATTCAGCCCCACAAGCAGAATCAGTAAGGTGGAAAAGTCCTCATCTAACCAGGTTACAGCTCTGCAAATTTCTCAACAGACCATGTTAGACAATACCATTAACAGTACCTATACCACAAGGAAACGAGGTTCAAAGAGGAGGAAACATCAATAAAGACAAGGTCTGTGAATTGCAGATAACATTTTAAAATTGGACTTTTCATTAAATCCCACTGAAGGAATAGAAAACATTACTTGCTGCTGCAGGTCCCAGTCAGGTTTCATTGCTCTGGTGACAATTCAATCCTGAGATGGCTCATTCAGGAGTGTTAAAAGGGTTAGGCACCTTGAGCCTCATTTCCTTTTTGACCCATCCATCCATCTATCTATCTATCTATCTATCTATCTATCTATCTATCTATCTATCTATCTATCTATCCATCTCTGCCTGTTCATTTTACCATTGCACACTGTATATATTGATGGGAAAGAAAACTCTGGTGCAATTATATTTCCTCAAAATTGAAATGTCTGGCAAAACTCAAATGACTGCTCTGTATTGATTTATTTTAAAAATACACTAAAAACATTCCAAGAATGTTGAACTGTTCCATGTGAATACAATTAGAACATAACATCCACAATTTTGTTCCAAAGTAACTGCCTGCTTACTTTTATTTTATATAATAAGCATGTCTAAAACTAAGACATCTACTAATTTAGTAACTGTTCTGAGAACTTCTATCCTGCCTCCTTCTAGATTCCTTTGATGTCCTCCAAATTTTGGAGTAGGAAACCAACTCATTTGTCTGTCTCATTTAAATAGTCTTAAATGTGACTATTTAAAGAAGTACTGCTCAATATCAATAAATTGTGCAGAATGGAGATTCAGAGAATGGTATTTGGGTGCTTTCTTGATTTGTTTCTAATTTGGTATATATGGTAATACTAGAAGACAGCTTAATCCTACTAAAGAATTTTCATCTTCATCTACACATTGCTAATCTTACATCAGCTTTACAGTTCATTTGAACAAAATCAAATTTTTCAGTGAGTGGGCAGTCTGAATTTTTTTTTTTATAGATTCCTAGGTTCTAACAAAAGACACATTTTTTTCCACAAAGGCTTCTCTAATTCCAAGATTTCCTAAGTCTGCCTTTTTCTGTTTCTATTGGAATGTGACTACAAAGGTTTCTCTGTGTAATTGTCTTTCCAGGCTTCATATAATTATTATCCATCAATTTGGGCCCTAAAAGCTCTTTCTTTTCATACAGAGACATATTCTGAGGGCTTATTTTTTACTAAACAAGAGTATTTTCATACATTAACAAGTAAATACATATTTGAAACCTCATTCCTATTCAAGTCAATCCTTGGTTCAAGGTTCACATTCTCTGCTAAACTCATTCTAGGGTCAAGAAAGTTCAAGGAAAATTAGCAAACACTACTACGCACAAAAAAAGTCAAAACCCCCAAACAAAACAAAACAAAACTGAAAGACACTCATTGGTTGTCAAGCAGAAAGAATAATAAATCACTGCTTCTAGGAGAATAATTTCAGAGGAATGAATGAGCACTTAAACTGGGGGAGAAGGGAGACCTTTCTCACCTAAAATGTCTTATATTATAAAAGAGCTGGGTATACTAAGATGGGAGCTTTTGGGAACAGCCTGTGCCAAACCAGTTAAATTTTTTAGTGAACAGACAGTGAATTAAGGGGCAGACAAAGAATCAGAGAGAATAACAGACATGGGGAATAATTATGAAAAATTTTAGAAACAAAAATTTAAATAATTCCTGTCACATGAGTTATACATGATATTACTCTATGTAATTATTTCTGGAACACAAGTAATATCTGAATGTATCAACTGTGTTTACACATGTTTTAGAAATGAAATTACAACAATAATGATCTTACTATTTCATTTATTAAAATAATAAAAACCAGATTTTGTCCAAGTTGACAACTACTAGAGGCTTTTGCAGAATTTCTGAAATGCTGGGTCTTTACTATCTAAAATATGAATTCACTTGGCTTCAAGTTAAAACTAACTGCAAAGTTCCCAAAAATTTTGATTTTTAGGATATTTTAAGTGTTAGAAAGAGTTGTTCCTGTTCCACTCACCGGAGCAGAATTGTCTCTTGGTCCCCTGGATCTCACCATCCTCCCCAGCACTTCTATGCCATCAGAACTAATATTCCCTGCTGCATTAATGGTCTTCTCACCCACTTCCTTGCAGTCAATAATTATCTTGGCCGTGGTCTTGCTGATGACAACATGCAACTGAGCAAAAGAGAAGAGAAGATGCTTTAACATACAAAGGAGCATATGAGATAAATGTGCTCTGTCATTGGGAAAAAGGGGGGCATTTTTTGACATGTGCTCCTAACTCCATGTTTGCTAATGAAACTCAAAGAACACTCCAAAGCAAATAATCCAGATGACCTCTAGAGGTCCCTTCCAACCTGAATTATTCTATGATTGTAATCTGTTTAATGAATTTGGTTTATTTTTCTACTTCTGGAACATCTGCAAAGAAATTGGCAACTTACATAACTTATTCAATAAATAAATAATTTGTCCCAACAGAATATCTGCACAATGTTCATTTACCACTTAGATCCCACAGATCTTTTGATCTATGTGGTTATTCCTTGTACAGAGCATTGGATTTCACCATTATAGCCAGCCACTTGCAAAAGCCAAAACTAAGCAGTAAAATTTAGTTTGTAAATTATACATTGACAGCAAAAGCTGTCATAGTGAAGTTTTTACACTGAAAAAATCAAATCACATCAAATGCAGCACAGAAAGCAGAGCACAACAACTAAATTCTTTCCTTCTGCCTTGATCACACTGTTGTCCCTCACTGATGCAGCAGAGCCACTCCCAGTAGGGAGGACAAGTGTCCTGTCATGTGCAAAATCTCAAGGCTTGTTTGTTTGTTTTGTTTAGGAAAGATCCAAACAGCAGGAAAAACTCAATGACAAAATTACCCTCTGCAACAAATAGGTGCTACAATCCCAGCACTGCTTCACCTGCTTTCAGAAAGAATGTTAAAAGTTCTCAAATAACAAAAGAAAGTTCAACGTGGCATAGCTCTTAAAATATATTTTAAAATTAGAACTGATGAAAAAACAATTTTTTTTCTGGACATTTTATTTTGAGTGACACTGCCAATCCAAATCTTAAAAGGAAAATCTTATTTATTTCTAAATTACTTTTCAAGATATGTATTTTTTAATGAACTGTAAAACACAGGCAAAAAGTACGAGATGAAAATTTAACACGTCAGCTTCATGATAAAAAATATGATTTGTTTAATGTTAATCTAATACTGCAAAGAGATGTATGACAGTAAGGTAGGTGATGCAAAATACACTTTTTTGGCAGTAATTGACCTCATGAAACATGATTTAGAAACACAAAAAACTCACAAGTTTTATTCAGAGTGCTTTTTTTTCCCTATTGTCATTACTAACCTTATGAAAACTCCCATAAAATATCTTCCTTATTTCAGGACCTTCAAAAGTTACAGTTTGAAAATCTCCTTTGTAGTCATAGTTAAAGAAAGTCAGAGTTTTTCCACCATCTGTGTGAGATCAAAATTAAGGGCTCTGTGTTAAAGTCCTGATACAATATTTGAAAGAGTCAGTTTGCATTTAACAAAGCAGACCAAAGATGACGCCTCAAATGTTAGTAAAACACATTCATAAACAACAAACTGACCTGGAAGTAGCAAGTTATATCAGAGAAATATATATATCAAATTGACAGGAAAGATGGACCAGCAGCTCTGAGTCTGCCTCACCCATGCCTACCTGGTTCTACTGTTTCATTTGCTCTCTGTGAGAGCTGGACAAGAAAAACCCTTCCTCAAGCTGGCTAAATACCTAATTCCCACCTACTTCAAGGTGACAATTTGGCAGCTATCAAGAACAGGTATCACAGTAGCTTCATCTTCTCAACAGTAAAACCTCATAAATTATAATCCCTGTTTCACAACTGTGAAAGTAAAACCAAGCAGAAATGAAAAGCCATCAAGAGCTCATGTCTGTGGTTCTAACTCTGCTTTTCACCAGACTGCATTTCCTCTACACATGCTCCCAGAACCACTGGCTTATATCAAGACAGATTTGATCAGCATCAGATTCAAAGCACTGGAAATCTTAAAAGCAGATGAGTACCTCACATCACATTAAATTGCATCTAGTATAGATTCTCGGAATCCAGTTCAAAGCAGTTGACTCAAAGTTTGACTCTAACTCCAAATTAAACTCAGTTAAACTCAATCTAAAAACCATGCATTAGATTAAAAAAAAACCCTGCCAGATTCAGGTGGTTGTTCTGGTAGCAGATTGAAGCACTGGCAATAATAAAACTAGACACAGAATTAATCATTTGTACAGTTAAAATCACTGATAAAACACAAAGCACATACTGTCTAAAATAACTCCAACCAGTGGTTCATATGCTTCGTTTAAAATCTCCCACAGAGCAAAGGGCTCCTGCGGAGTGTCCGGCAGTATCCGAAAGAGAAACGTGATGGTGTAATCAGAAGGGAGACCTTCAGGATGCAAATACCTGTAAGAGAAATAACGTCTTTGAAACTGAAACAACATCAAATCTGCTGATTTACTCATCAGAATTTCACTCAACATGCTTTCTATTACTCTGTATATTGACTGATAAATCAAGACTGAGAAGCGATATAAGAGTCTATAAAATCTACTCAATTTGATAACTCTGAAAGTATGCTTGTGAAGAAAGTAGAAGTTATTGTCTCCCTTGAAATTTACAAAATTGACCTTAAAATTTAACTTTTTTTTTTTTAATTTATTTGAAGATCAAATCAGAGGTCAGGAAGTAAAGCTGAAATTAATTCTATTCAAAGTTTTTAAAAAACAATAGCCAGTCTCAAGACCTTAGAAATTGTCTGATTTAGGAGACAATGGAAATTGCTTGGAAGACCAGTCTCAATAGATATGTCTTTTGTCATTAAACCATTAGAAATTGATTAAAATTAGGAGTGGCAGACTGTTATAGGAAGCTTAATAAAATATAGGGAATAAAGTTTATACATTTTAAAGCCAATATAAAACAAAGTGAAGTCAGAACAGATCACATACTGAAAAACAAACTGGCTTCCTAGAATTTATGCAAAAGAGAGAGGAAGTTTATGATATAAAAGAAGTACTTTATGTTATATAATTCCCAAAATTTCCTTATTTCTTACTTCAAGTTGAATTTAATGTTTTGTTGTCAAATCCCAAGGTGAAGCTTTTGGACAAAAGTCTTTGAGACAACTGACTGTATGCTAAATGTTAATTAGTCTGATCATTTAAAACCATAGTAATAGGATCTGAAAGAAGTCTCAAGAGTTATTCAAACAATTTATTTTTCCCAAATATGAACCATTCCTTTTTAAGTGTTTCTGGCACATAGTATGAATCATGCTGAAAAGAGATTTAACACAATATATCATCAATATATTTTGCACAGTTTCAGTAGATTATCAGATGTGATGTTACACTGCCCATTTCCCATAGAGAAAGAGGGGGAACTCAAGAGATAAAAGAAAAAAGCCTTTACAGTGTGTCCATTGTACAGAATGAAAGCCAATTCAATAAGCAGGGTGGGTTAAATGCAAGATTTGGGGATTCAGAACTCAAAAAGGAGAATAAAATTAATGGCTTTCAGTGCACAGATGAAGTGACAAAGCCAAGTGGTATTTTTCAGACATACCTGTGGATCATCAAGAGAAAGATGCTCTCTGAACCATGAAAAGGAGTAAAAGTCTAATGAAGCAGTAAGACTGGGCTGGGGTGGCAGCTAGAGGACAGCATATAAAGGCAGCAGATCAAATCAGAAAGAAGCAGAAAGGGAAGAAAGTGAGAAATGTTAATCCCTCAACGTTTCAGTTCATCATGGCCCAGGAAGAAACAAAACAAGGAGAATGTGAAGCAGCACCAAGAAGTACAGCTCCAACTGGGACACAACAGGAAAATCACACACTCTAATGATAGCTAATATCCAATTTCCCACTGTTTTTCTTCCTTATCTTAGCTAAAGAATATTTTTCATTAACCATCCCACGTGTAATCCATCAGAGCCACTGCTTCTCTATGGTGCTACTTAAAATGGAGTGGGGGTCTGGACTGAGAGGAACCCAAGACAACACAGACACTGCTTATACAAGAAACAGGGTTTCCATCACTTCCTCTCTGAGGAATGACTGTAAAGTTTAGTCAGGGGATTCTCCATGGCCTCCTCCATAGCCCTCCCAAGACACAGTCCTTGTGACTGGAAGATGCCCTGCCTCCCAGGAAGGCACTGGATGGGGTTCACACAAAGTCACTTCAACACAAGGTTTTAATCTTCCTTTGTAACCAATGCCTGGACACAGACTGCCGTAGAAGTGACAGGACTGCTGGAGCAGGTTCTCATTCTGACCCTTGCTTCAAGGACATGCTGAACTCTGAGACTTCAACCTGCATTCCAGAGGCACCCTTCACAAAGTGCTGCAGACTGGAATCTGCCCAGACATGGGCCTGCATGAAATTGCCAGGTGTTACACAGGCACAAACCTGAAACAAGCTTGTGGGAAAACCAAAATAGCCAGTGGGCTTACCTACTTTTACCTACAATTATTATTTTTGAATTAAACTGATTGAAGGGTCAGAGCACCAAACAGTTTTCCTACTCATCAGTGTATATATCAGATATACACTAGCACCTCTGCTTTTCTGACTTAAAAATACTAGTTCCTGAAATGAATAATTGCCTGCACTAGAAATTATTTTCATGTGTTTTTTGAGTATTTATATGTGAATACATACTTGGTAGGCTGGGAAACCAGAGCATCCTTGTGCAATCTGTAACATGGGAAAACATTAAATGTACCAGGTTCCATGGAAACCCCTTCCACAGCTGAAAACTCCTTTTCAACCAAACCAAACATTTCCATCATTTTAAATCCTGGAAGATATCAAAAGGCATATTTTATTAATTTAAATTAATACTGCATCAGAGGATACATAAAAAGAAAATGCCAATTGTATCTTAAGAGTTTTATTGCCTGTTAACATGAAGGGAAATATATTGCCTAGTACTGTGAAAATAATGTAATGAAAATATTCCATAAATTATCAACAAAAATGAACACAAAAATACTGTACCTGCAAAATTATTGCCATCTTTAACTACCAGTGGGCAGGCTGTAAAGGAAAAAAGATATATTTAAGAATACAAGAGATGTCCCACTGAGTCAGAACAATCATGCACTTAAACTTAGCACTCTACCCCCAAAAGCAGCAAAAGGAGAGGTTGGGTAGGAAGGACAGGCAAACCTGGGCATTTTCTGCTCCATTCTGTCAATGCTTCTCAGGATCCCCAAGGGTTGTAGCAAAGATATTAAGGGTTGCTCCCTGTGTGCTCCATATAATATATTTTTATGGATTTCTTGTCCATTAATTTGTCTAATCCTCCCTATAAACCCGCCTTCATTACCTCTTCAGCAATTTCAAATTTGTTGAAAAACAGCAACAAATTCATTGCCTGTTGCATAAAATAAAGCGTGTCTCATATTGGGATTTAACCAAGTGTTCCCTAATTCTTTGTTAGCTTCTCCAGCCTAACCCATTCAAGTTCAAGTACTGCAGCTGACATTCTCTGTACCTTTTCAAATTCCACAATCATTTCCATGAGCAAGAGAGACCAAAATAAACCTTAAGATGTGTGCTCACATTTTAAATAACTGCAAATCTCCTTGATACATTTCTTTAGGCAGAGAAGAAAGGTCACTGATCTATTTCAGGAAAGGTGCCCTGGGAAACCAACAAGCCTAAAGCAGCATATCAACCAAAAATGGCACCCCAGGATACTCACATTTGAAGGCCACTTTTAGAAAACAAGCACAAGTGACCAATAAATGATACTGTTGAGAATTGTCAATGTTTAACATTCTCTCTACCATTGAAAGTAGAGCTCATGGGCACAATCTCAGAACTGGTGGCTCACAAGTAATATCATTTTAGCTTACCAGCTCTGACAATTCAGTCTCCTGATAACTCACAGCCCTGTGCACAAGGACTCCTTCCAATCACAAACAGGTCTCATCAGCTACACAGTGCCTGCTTCCTGGCTTATACACAAGGAAATATATTATGGGCACACACCTAAAAGCATGTGAATTATTGATCAATAATCATTAAGTGTTGCTCGGAATGTCTATTCCTTAATTTTCATAAAGAGAAGTGTGGCTTTCTCACAGATTTCAGAATTTGAGTATGTTTTATGCTTTTGCTTAGGCTACAACTCGTTTACTTTCATAACAAAAGCATCAATGATTGGATCTCTATTAATACATTAACCATGTGATTTGAATAATAATGAATGTAGCTAGCAGTACTCTTACAGAGGGTTAAAGTAGCCTAGAAAATAAAATATAATTATCTTTTATGATTCTAAAATGTCAACAACATCTGAAATGAGTTTTTGACAACCTGTGGTTGTATTTTGGCTTTATAGAAACAATCATTAATTATTTTGAAGTCACAAAACCTTCATTTCCATAATCTTCTGTAGAAATAACATTAGAATTATAAAGCCAACAGTAAATTATATTAAAAAGATCAAGAATTTGTCTTAATAGAAAATTAACAGTTACAATCTCCCCAGTATTCAGCAGTTATTTTAGAAACAAGCATAAATCAAAATTACTAACTTGCTGATGCAGTTTCACAAACAAAAGTGATCAGCTCATCTTCAATCTTTGTAAAGGCATCAAAGTCATCCACGAAGAAGACATGTCTTTCACTGGGCTTGCTGCCAATATTAACTAACTCTGAATAGTCAGCATCAGCCACTCCAATAGCAAAAAAAGTAAAACCTGTAAAACAAAAATAACACTCCTGTGAGTCATTCATTTTGAGAGTGGAAATACAATATGAACACAACTGTATTTGCACTGACTCCTTTCCTGATTAAACACCAACTTGGATATTTAATTATTACCCTATAGCATGAGAAAATTCACTTATGTAATCTAAAATAAAAGTAAAATATTCTCTGTGAAATATTTCTTCTAGCTATTTATGCTTAATTAGTTGAAGTTAAACCTTAAGCGTTTTCTTGAAGATATATGACTACTCAGTAGTTTAAAGTTTTAGCATATGTTTAAATACTTTTTAAATTTAATGCTATACTGTATTACACAAAAATATTCATGTATCAAGTACAGAATAAATACAAAGTAGAGAAATTAATTTCCTGCAGGTTCTTTACAGATTTTTTCTGTGCCATGTGTTAGTACATATATTATTTCAAGGCACTGCTGCCTCATGAGTGAACACTGAAATAAATGCATCCTCATTTCATCAGCAATTTAACTGCACTGGCTGCATCTGTTCTATATATTTAGCATGAATATTTTTCAAAATATGAGCCTGACTTAAAGGATTCAAATTTAAATCAAATGGAAAGTGTACCCTACATGTTTCAGGAATAACAAAAGAGCCATAAGTTTTTCAACATTTTCCGTTTCATAAGAGATGAAGGAAAAAACCTCTCTACATCAGGCTGAATATGGTAAATGGATATACTGTTCTAGCATGGCTCAGTCACAAATTTATGCCAGTCAAGCAATATTATCTTTAAGTTTGAATGAGGACCAGGGGCACTCATAACCTTCTGCAGAGCTTTAAGCATAACCAAACTGTGACTTAATACATTATACCAATATCTTCTTGTCTCACCAAGCTCAGCACCTCTTTGTGCCAGCCTCCACCACAGATGCCCATCAGTGCCTGCTCCAGCCTATCTGCCCCTCACTGTGCAGCACACTCCAGGGGAAATGGGAGAGGGGAGGTCGTGTGCCACGTCCCAGCAGCTGAACCCTCACAGAGTGCCATCCTCTCTGGAGGCACTTCCCAGGCCAGGAGCTCATAATGCAGCTGCAAAACTTACCTGAGAGATTCATATTTTCTGCTCAGCTTAGACACGAACTCCAATTTATTCACAAACACGTAGTTTTCTTAACTGCTACTTAAAACAGGTCATGCAAGCCCACTATTTTGTCATATGCTTTATTGATGAAGCTCATTTTTGTTGCTAGATGCTGAATGCTACATTCAGCATCTAGCAACAAAACAAGGAGGCAGCCAAGCTGGACAATTACATTTGGTTTCAGAAATCAGTGATCTACACTGGGGACTTCATAGCTGTCAAAGCTAAAAGCAAATAAAAGGCACACATGTAATTTCTCTTCAGGTCACATTAAAAGGAAGATAGTTTTTTTTCTTCCATCCTTTGGCAGCACATTGTGCCCTTTCAGTTTTGGTACAAATTTCTACAACAATTAATCCACTTCTTACACTCAGACTCACAACATGGTTTGGCTGCTTAAAGCTCTAAAACTGAAGCTTTAAAAAAATTCCTAGAGGTAATTAGTGCATCATGAGAGCAGGTCAGAAACAGTATAAGAATTTTCAATGGACCTTTTGTGTAGAAAACAAAATAGCTCAATTAGCTCACAACCACAAGACTACACTTTATAGATGATAATCCAGATTCTCAGGATCATATTCCCCAACTTCTTCATTCTGGGAACAATTCCATTATCTACTACAGTATTTTAGCACTGCTGCCAAAATAAAAAATAATTTCATTAATCACCAAAAATATCCAGAAATATCTAATCATATCCTAGTGATAGCCTGTGTTTCTCAGCAATTGCTGTTTTCTTTAAAACTGAAAATCTGGAGCAAAGGCTATCCTTACTTCATGCCCACACTTTTTTAGATGCAATTAATGAGAAAAAAGAACATGTGAGGTTTTTTTTTTTAAAGCCACACAATTTACCATCTAGTTGCATTTCTCTGGAGACTTTGTTCACATCATCCTGTGATCGCCCATCAGTGATGACAACCAAAACCTTTGGGATGCCCCTTCTCATGCCTGCCTCTCCTGTAAATAAGGCTTCTCGTGCATGCTTAATGGCTTTGCCTGTAACACAAAAATTGACAATGACTGTGATATAAATCTGATTTCTATTGGCTTCTCATATAACATGTTACAATATATAAAAAGAGAAATCTGTTGTGTCCTGAGCAGTCTGTCAATTTGTTCATTCTGTATTTGTTACAATCAAGATTTAGAAAAGTTTGATTTTGACTGTAATGTTTCAAGTTCTGATGGCTTCAGCCCTCCATTTTTCAATCCAGAAGGGGAGGATCACGAACATGATTTGTGTGGGTGTCCTGGGTTCAGCTGGGACAATTAATTTCCCTCTTTATTGCTAGTACAGTGCGGACTCCATATGAGGCTAATGTTGATAATGATGTTTTGGTTGTTGCTAAGCTGTGCTTACCCTGAGTCAAGGACTTTTCATTGTATTTTACTTTATTTCAATCATGAAACTGTTGTCTGAGCCCACAGGCTTGACCCTTTTCTGGTTCTCCTCCCCATCCCACCAGGGCTAGGGGTGGGCAGTGAGTGAGCAGTGTGTGGTGTTTAGCTGCTGGCTGGGTTAAAGATAACAAAACTTTCCTTTCTGGATTGTAGGGCACTGTCTACACTAACAACTGAGAATGTCATTGTAGCAAATGGAAAATTATTTTGATAATGCTGCAACTGGATGCAATGCAACAGCTGCAAGAAATTTCTGTGAAGTCTGAAAATAATAAAACATACGGTTTCCAACTAAAACAGATTTTAACCCTTTCAACCCTCATCTATAATTTCTTTAGATCAGACAGCTATTTTAAGGGATTAATTGAAATGAAACCTTAACAAACATCTTCCCCCATCCCAATCTTAAACATCCCACAGAGGTTTAACTGTCCTGGTTTATACCCAAACAGACAATTCACTCTCTCCAGTTTTCTACATGCTCTGCAAGCTCCCTCCCACCCTCTCCCCTTTATCAGCTTTCTGCTCACTTGCCAAGCTGATTTCATATCAGTCTCCATTCCACCTTCCACTACCCCCAAATTAATTTGCTTTAGCCCTCCTGCTCCTCTCCCTGATCCTCGTTATCACTGTTGGTCAGTGGAGTGAATATGCAGCAGTAGGAGATGAAGTGTGTAAACTACAGATTACAAAGACTTTCGAATTTCAGAGCCTGACCCTTCATCTCCAGTGTGGAGACAGCATGTTATTACTGGTTTTGCAGTGATTAATTAAACCATTTAGCAAATGGGAAAGAAATACTGCTTAGAGAAGCAGGGAAAAAATCTGCATTACAATCTCACCCTTTCTCACCTGTTTTTGTATTTCCTCCTTTGTAGGCTATTTGCTGAATAGCTTCAAGAAGAGTCTCTTTTGTTTTGTATGCATTCAATTTAAATTCTGTCCTGGGATCATCGCTAAACTGAATTATTGCCACCTGTGCACATAGAAGATTACAAATATTAATTACAAAAGCACCACCCACTGTGGAAGTAAAAAGTAAATCCGATCACTTGAAACAAGAATTTATCTTGTAACTTTGCTTCATCTTTAAATTGAAGCCAGACTTTTTTCTCTCTAAGACAGCTTTCAGTAAATAAAGATCAATTTTACTCTGTGCAACCTTGGCAACCATCTAACACTTTCTGGTTTCATTTTGCAGCAAAGAGGATGAGAGCAGTAATACCCACTTTGGCAGAAGCACTCTCAGTCGAGCCTAAAAGCAAAATCCTGGCCACAGCTGCTCACGTGTGTACAGTTATTCATACTCAGAGCTGCTGGGACTTAATTCAGTCTCCATGAATTAATAACTGCACATAAGTAACTTAAGCTAGGGAGCAAGAAAGAAGCAAGAAATAGAAAGATTCGGGAATATATTTTGAAATATTGGCTCTGTCCAATATGACACTACTGAGTTAAGACCCTGTATTACAATACTGTACACTAAGCCCCTACAACCCACAAAGCATATATTGATCTTCATATTCCATAAGTGGTGCCCCTGATTCAAAAGGAGCTATTGTGTTTAAACTTGTGACAAAGTTTCTGAAGCACCATAAACTATATTCTGGAAAAATAGCTGTATAGCAAGAAACAGAAAAAGCTAAGTATTCTTCAGGGCTTGGACTAGTCAAAATTAATTCCCAATGAGATCCCAAACCACATATTATACAGGTAACACTTAAACCAGTAACATATTTGCCACTAATATGTTCTGGAGCACCTCTCTAAACAAATACATAAATGGAATAATCATTGCAAATTTTATTTCAAGCACTGTAGATTCTGTAGAGTGTGATTCACAATAACAGAACCTTTGATTTTCCTTATCAATGCCATTTTTATCTTCTTTATAAATAAACACTACAGTGAATACCAAAAGCATTAATAAACTTAAATGTCATTAGAATTAGAGGAGACTGAAATTATACTGAGCCCTCATGCTACCAAAATTTATATTGTGAATTTTAACATATGGTGTGCATAAAAAGATATTGAAAAAATATACTGACCTAGAGCAGTTTATATTTTCACTGAACTGTGAAATGATGTCAGTTACTTCTTGATTCAATGCACTTCTGGTCTAGTCTAAAATACCCTGTCAAGTCCATGCACCCTCCCTCTCTGTACATGTTGATTACCTGTGTTCCCTCAGGACCAATCTTATCCAAAGCTCCAACAGTGCTATAAAGGAAGTTAATTATCTTATTGAAATTGTCATCTCCAATACTCCATGACCCATCCACCAGGAAGGCCAGATCAGCTTTGGCTGCTTTGCACACTGAGGAAGAAAGTAAGAATTTGGGAATTAGAGCAATGCTTCAACTCCTCATGAAACCTCAAAAATTACTTAAGAAAATGCAACCATCATGAAAAGCCCTTGTTTAATGTTAGCTAATACATGTTAGCTGAATGTTAGCTTCAGTCAACAGACCTGCTGGCATTGACTTCAGTGCAGGTGCAGAACCAGCTGAGCTCTGCAAGGGAGAATTGTCTGCACCAACAAATCCAATCACACAGCACACTTCAATGGTTTTTTAAAGTCTGGCCTATAATTTCTATTTTTATTTAAGTTTTTAAGTAAAGTCACACATGAACTAATACAATGCCAGACCCCTAGCACGACACAGTAGGCAAGGTGACAGAATTTCAACTGTGGAGGTTCCCACTGGAAAATATTCCAATCATAAAGTTACCCTAAGGTCTGCAGTGTGTAATACACTTCAATTGCACTGTGCAGGAGCAATGCAGGTTTCACCCAGCCCATCTGATTCCAGCACATTCTTGTGCAAAATGTACTGCAAGAGCTGTACATTTTCTCACACAGATTGCTCACTCTTTCATGGGAACCTTCAACAATTCACAGAAATCCAAGTCTATTGCTTGGGGTCAGAAGCAAACTGTCTCAAACCAAAGTCATGTTTTTCAATATATTTCATCTTCATATTTCATCTAAACCCAGAGAATAGGACAAGAAGATAAAAACCTGAATTTCTCATTTTCTCTTGATTACTCCTTGGATAACAGAAACCCCTCATTATCTACTCCTATGCAGTTCTAAACACACCCACATATAAGGTCTTTTTTCCCTGTGCTTGTGGGTTAAATTCTCAATTTATACATGTCAGTTTGGTCCACAGACTTCAAGCTGATGTATTTGATCCTCAGTCTCCACCAATAATACTCCTCTCACAGAAATATTATAAGCCTCTGTACAAAATATGACATGTTCAAATAATTATAAAAGGAAGTCTACATTTAAAGAGTCTGAATATGGCCCATACTTTTCACATTACCTAAAGTAGACATATTTAAAAATAATGCTGCTTTTGAAGTTTAATTATTCTAGGATGTCTGCTTCAGTTGCAAAATGTGTATGGTTTAGGAGTTGTGGAAAATGGAAGTGTTACATATATTAACCACCCTTTCAGCAAATTTTAATAGTACAACAATGAGGTCAGATTTTTGGCTCATTAAATTTAAGACAGCTGCCTTAACAGTGTTTCTACAGCAAATGCCTTGTGAGATCTGCTCCCCACAGGTCTAAAATACCATCAGAAGCAAAAAAAAAACATTGCACCAACACTTTAAAATGACTAGAAACTCAGAGATGGAGCACTTACCCTCTTTTGCAGGTGGGATTGTAGGTGGTGGAGGTGGTGTTGAAGGTGTTGTTGGTGGTTGAGTAGGAAATGGCACTGGAGAATAAAAGAAGGAATATTCAAACATGCTTAAAAGCCCAGTATTTTTAATAAACAGCATTTTCTACTCATCTCCACATGAAAAAAATTCATTATCCCTAATCTAGTTATGCAATTGGAGATAAACGTAGGTGAGTGCACGCAAGAAATGTCACCTGAAAGAGAATATTACTAATGCAAAACAATTAATGGCTGCATATGCAGTATGAATGATACAAGAATACAACTGAACTACTAATGGAACTGCCTCTTTTTAAGATCCTCCAGGGTAGCAGACCATGTGCCAGCACTATTCTTGACCAAGAATTCATTTTCAAAAAGGTCTGTGTCCTTTTCTTTTCTCAATAAAAGTCCTCAGTAACAGAATGTAGGTCTTTATTCAACCTGGAAGGAAGAATATCTTAGTCCAAAATGCAAAGACAGAGAGGAAAAGCAAGCCAGTGCCTGCACTCAAAGCAGATCACAGTCTGTCCTGATGAAGACTTTTCTGAACTTGGCCAAAGACCTTGCTATGCTTCCAGACAGAAACACAGCTCTGACCCCAGCTCCAACAGGACTGTGGCTCTGCTGCCTGCAGCAACTTCTACTAAAGTTGCTTCACAGTTTCTGAAAGTCTCTCACTCTTCTCCTGAAAATTGATATTGGTATTTCAATCTTGCAGAGACCTAGGTGAATATCCAATTACTGATTGACAGCTTTTCTGAATGCAACAGCTTTATTTAGCACCTTTCAATACAGCCCAGCTGACCTCTCAGAGATAAAATGCACACACATTGACTTCCACAACTCTATGGGAGGAAAAGCTTCCACATTTGTTCAAGGGATTTTTCCCCCATTTTTATTCAATTCATTTAGCATAAGAAGTCACAGGTGACAGAACATCAGTCCTCCAAGTAAGACTGAACTTATTTGCTGTAACACCTCAGTTATATTTATAGGCAGTGTTAGATATGGCAACCTGAGAAAAGGAGCCTTTCCATTTGGGAAAGATCAGTGCAAACAGGATTCGTTACACGTCCACATCCCACTGTAGCTGATGGTGGTTTTCCCAGTGGCTTCAGCAACAGAAAGGGCGAGGACTCTGAAACCCTACAGAGAAGTAATGCCCAGGACCTCCATGGCCACAGCAACCCAGGACCAGACACCTTAAGAAGGGGTCACAGCTGCTGTAAGGTGACTTGAAAGGCTGCTCTCAGCACCAAAGAGATGCACCTCAGTGCATCTGAGTCTCACCCTGGAGACTGTTTCCCTTCAAGGTAGACAATAGTTTAGACAAATTATCACAAACCATCGTTCTCAGATGGACATACAGGCCAAGGTGTGCTTTCCTCATGGCTCCTAGCTCCCTGACCTGCAGAGCACACTAAACACAATTCCCCAAAAAGCACAAGATTTTTGGCTTTATGCCAACTGCTCAGAAAATGAGCCCTGGACTAGGAAGAATTGGAGTCATGCACCTGTTTTTCCTATACCATAGGAAACCATAAATGTGGGAGGAAAAATAGAAAATTAGAAACACTTTCTACCCTGAGAAAAAGGGAACAGTATTGTGGTGTATAGCAATATACTATGAGAAGACAGGTAATGCTGAGATTGGAAATGGACTCAAAGAAAGATAAAATATTCATTCTAGTAGTCTCATGTTTAATTTTGCAGTATTTTGAATTCATGACAACAGGACCTTGACTTCATAAACAGTTGTGAGATTATTTTTGGGTTTTTTTTGTCTTGTATAACTACTAATAATAATTAAAAAGTCCAGTTGGTTGGTTTGTTTCAAAATTCTTAAACAAATTGCGTTTTGAGGTCCCATTCAACTGTACATTATTCAAACACTAGTTAATCTTACTAAATAACAAGAGCTGCAGGAACAAAATTTTGTTTGTTCATTTTGCTGCATTTTTCCCCAAAATTCATAGATATTCAGAGTATCTCATAGTGGGACTTTGTATGAAGAAAACTAAACCATCATCCCTGTGTCTTTCTCATTAGAAGTCCAATAGAGCTGTTGAACATGACTTAACAATTACTTCACAGCAGTGGTGTAAGAATCCTGCACATCTGTGGAGGAGTCACAATGTACTTGCACTTGAAAAATCAATAGCTCAGCTAAAGGAAACTGTGTAGGAATAGGACATGTGTGGGCAAAGGGCAGAACACAAGAAGCAGCTGAGTATTATTGCTGCTGGCTGAACTCTGTCTCCTCTGTTTTACTCACACGTTGTCTCCACGATGCTCACAGCAGGACCCTCCAGCTCCTGAAGCTGTGTATGAACACTGATTTTATATTTGGTTCCAGGCACCAGCTCAAAGAAACAATGCCTAGGTGTCCCTCCACCAAGATTTACTTCTTGCTTTTTCCCATCTGGAATTACAAAAGAAACCATGAAATTATTTTTTTTTACTGTTTTATTGAATAATGTGATTTAGATCATAAGAAGAGTACATGACAGCACTTGAAGGGTAAGAGGTTGGCGTAAGTTAATAAACTACATGCTCCCTTACTTTTGAAAATTGACCCCTGTGCAGAGGTCTCTGTAACATTTCATTATTCACACTAAGTAGGGGCTGAGGAACGTGTCAAATATCTTTAGGAAAAAAAGATTCATTTTTCCCATGAGGGAAAATGAGGGCACTAAAAATCGCTAGCACTGAGGGCAATAAAAATTGCTAGCACTGTCATGAATGGGCTTTGGATCTAGCCCTAAATTATCAGAGTCTAACTGGGAATTGTTGCATTATGTAATTCTATGGCATCCTTTGTCTATGCCTCTGGTTCTCAGCATACGTAATGTGCCTGGTCACAACAAAAGAGACTGAACTAGATATCATATTCCAGCTTTCACTAGCAGCCACTTTGCAAGATCATTAAAGAATAGCATTTACTGATTCTGCTAAATTCTGAATTGGAAGATACACTGACAATAGAAAAAGGCAGGAATAGCATAAGGCATGTTTTAATAACAAGAAAAACCTTATCACCATTTAAAATCTGCATCAGGAAGAAGTGAAATACAAGCAACTGATCTCACATTTTACAGAGTGCACAAAAAATTACAAACAGTCACTCAATGCTCATCAAGTGTTACACAAGTCTAAAAATATTTGATCACTGCCTGAACCAGACATATGCCCAATTTGACAATCAAGTCCCTTCAGGATAAATATTAATAAGAAACATTTTTTCACACTCTGGGTTGTTCTGCTCACATTTAGGTGCTTTCAGCTCAGCTAAAACAATTCTGGCAGTTCTATATGAAGAAAGTACGATGTTGGCTAGTTCCCAGATGAGAGAGATGTCTGTGCAGTCTCATGTGAGCCAAGATCTCTGCTATCTGAATAGCTTGTCTGTATTTCAGGGCTTCAAACAAACCTTATCACCATCACTTGCCATTCCACAGAAAGGTCACGACTTTTTTGCCACATGATCAGTGTTACTGTCCATGACACCTTTAACACAGCCCATTAACTGCACTTCTCTCAAGTTATCCAAGGTTTTAATTTGCTGCCACTCAGAAGACTACAGATGTCTGCTTGGGATAAGAGAGTTGGTCTGCACAAAGAGTGACAAAATGTCTTCTGGCCACACCTGAGAATCAGTAAGGCTGGAGAGGCTGTAAATTACCTTCTATATGTGCTCTGCTAAAAGCATCAAGGCTCCTTGTGTGACTGCATAGAACTGTGTCATATTTATCCATATGAGTAACATTACTACTATAAGCTAAAAAGAAGCATCAATAGAACGAGAACAAACAAAAGTGGACATTGATCTGATTCCGTGGGCATGGTCTGGATTCATTCAGCTTTTCTACCTTTCGGCCCTCTTCTCCTGTCTATCCTAATCATACAGAGCTACTGCCTGTGGTATATTTACAAACTTTGATGTGTTCAGTTCATCCTTATCCATCTTCTGTTCCCCACAGCAGTAAAAAACTCAGGTAATCACCTTTCTTCTGCTGAGAGATCCAAGTCCCTGACATAAAATGCACAAGCCATCAACGTGTTTGACATAGGGATGCTACTCCACTCTGAAACTGGCAGTGTGTACACACCTCTCTTCTGTCCATCATTTCCAGTATTCCAGGAGCCAGCCTACAGGTCCACCTGCATGCAATTTCTATGCAATACAATTCTCTGGATTGGGCTGTGGCTGCATATCAAATTATTTGTAACTTACCCTCCAGTGACTCTATAACAAGCCTGTAAGCAGTAGCATGTCTGTGGAGCTGCCACTGAGCACACAGACTTGTCATGCGGACTTGGTAGGAATCCAAATTCGTCACACCCAAATGCACTGAAAATTAAACAAAAAAAACCAGGTTTATACCTGTAATAAGACATACAAGAAAAAAAGACAAAATTATTAGTGAAACAAGTGCCATTATTTTTTAACAAATAATGTCCATAGTTGCTTTAAAAAAATCAAGAAAATCTAAGAGAATAATTTTAAAAAGCAGTGAATCTTAAAAACAAAAGTTTAGAACTTAAGGCAATTTACTTTAAACTAAATAATGAACACTGCTAAAAAGTTCAGTTATTACAAATAAGTATAAAAGTATCATAATTAACAGCAGAATTTCTGTCAAAATCTAATTTTAAATTGACCTTTAGCTATATAAAAAGCAAATAATCTTATATATGGAGCTAGAAAAAATACACTAAATAGAGTTTTCATTCAGGAAATTTATATCTACTACTAGGAAAATATATTTTTGGATGATAAATGATATCTGCTTTATGATTCCTGTCTTGCTTACATCCAACAGAGCACTTAAAAACCTGGTATAATCTCATAGAAAGAGATATTTTCTTTTCAGGAAAACAAAGTAAAGTCTTCCACATGAAAATTTATTCAGGGAATTACAGAAAGCCATAGTTGTAAGGAAAACCAGATTGTAGATATCTGAGCAGCATGAAATCATTCTTACAGGTTTTGGCCACGCCTGTTAGGGCATCACTGAAGCCTGTTGAGTATGAAGCAAATACTTTAACACTGTACTCCGTTCCACTGAAGAGATTTAGAATGAGAATAGTATTAATATCATCCCCTACAAAGGTCTCCAGTGCAGGACCAGGAGCTGCAAAAAAATGAAATAAATGAGAAAATAATTTGCTCATCCACTAAATTAGAAAAAATTACTAGTGTTCATAAAGTTACTGGGTTTTGCCTTTTTTTTTTTAAACCATACACAAATACAAAGGCATTCTCCTCAATCCTTGCATGGAAAGAAGACACAACAAGCATACTTGGGAAATTCAGCAGTGGGATTCATTAAGGCAGGGCTAGACATTGGCATCTGTTAAAACCCTTTTGTTCTGCTTCAGGGACTTACTACTGCTCTAAAGAGGCAGCCAAATATCTCCCCAGTTTGATTGTGAGCCAGGACCAACAGGGGGGACAGCAGATGCCAGCCAGCACTACAGTCACTCAGGGCTTCTTATACAACAGCATCATTTAATACTGTGCAAAAATGATAATGAAAGTAGAAAAGAATGAAACTTTCCCAAATCAGAATCACAAACAGCTCCTTCACCACCTCCCCTAGTTGTTCTGGATACATTTCAGAAACCAGGCAGCAGTATTGTCTTTGGACATCATTTTAGTCCCTTAATGGTCACACATCTGTGATTTGCTGTCAATAGAGCTCCCTGTTTTTCTAAAGAAATCTGAAGGATTTTGGAAGTCTTGTCAAGCTGCAAGGTACAGGAGGGCAAAGGATGCAGCACACGCAAAATGAACAATGAATAAAATGTTAAGTGTCTGAGAAGAAATTAAAACCTTTTATTGTGAAGGGAGGGAAGTTGAAGAACAGGAGAATACAGAAGGGAGAAACAGGAAAAAGCAAACATAGTCTCTGAAACAGTCATGATAAAATCAAAAAGCACAGACTGAAAGAGCTGGGACTAATCAGCCTTAGGATGGGAAGTCTAAGAGGAAATCTACTGCTGCCAACACCTACCTTATGCAAGGTGGTAGAGAAGATACAGACAGAATGTCTTCGGAGGCAAACAGGAAAATGTAGGAGAAAAAAGACAAATTTTGCAACATGGGAGATTTTTATCATATATTAGCAAAGACACTGCCAGTGACAGTAGTCAAAAACTGGGAGAGATGCTTAGAGTAGTTTCAAAATCTCCATCCTTGGAGATATTATAAATTCAGCTGGCCAGGGTCCACTGAAACCTTTTCCAAGCTGGCCCTGTTTTGTTCAGGGAGGAAGACCAAATGATCTCCAGAGATCCTCTCCAACCTGCATCATTCTGTGACTATTAAACTTTCATATTCAAAAATATGAGGCACCAAAGTTAATAACACTTTCAAGGCTGTAGCTGCAACTGATAGATTTAAGAACAAAATTGAGAGAAAGATGATGTTCAGTCAGAAATAACCCCCAAAAAATCAGTTTAAAAGCTCACTGTTGACAGGTTTGTAGACAACTCTGTAACCCATTGTTGTTGAAGGTGGGGCATCCCAGCTGATACGTAATCTGTTGTACCACTCATCTGAGACACGTAAGTTCCTAGGAGCAGACAGGGGCACTGAAAAGAAACCAAACTGGGATTTTACAAGTTTATCTCATATGAGCTTATACAGCAAAACCAAGATATGCAAATAAAAAGAGTGTGATACCCATTACTCTCAGATTTACATGTAAAATTATCAGGATGAAACTCTTAATCAAATTCATCCTTTGTATTACTCACTGGATTAACCACAAACTTTGATCAACAAACAATTTTGTTGAATTTTTGAATTAGTTCCAAAATTTGTCCCTACATTTCTTTTTAAAAATTCTTACTTTTGTTTCCTAAAAATGTAAGGTAATTTAGAGATAATTATACATTGTATAGTTTCTTCCAATCCAAGTGCAGTAATGTATAAATCATGCTCTTTTGAACAATTAATTCTGTAGAATGGAATCAAAGGACTTATTTACAAGTGATTTAAGTCTCTGCATAAATAGCACTTCAATTAAGACAAATTATGTAAATTAGGAGAACACTTCAATAAAATTATACTATCATGACTACAAGTGCACAATGAAAGGACTTTTTACAATATACAGTAGAGAGGAAGTTTAAGCTACAGCTGAGTAATCTTTTGGTGCTTGGTCAGAACTCTGGAGATAACGCAATCACTTTTTATAAAAAGTTCAGCAGCATTTCTAATGACCCTTAGAAAGCAATGATCTCACACAAAAGAAAATCTAACAGTACAATGGTTGGTTTGATACCATCTCAGCAGGCTTTCTTTACTTTTTTTTCTGTATTAGTTGGCTTGCCCTTGGTGGGCTGGTTATCAAGGATTTACCAGTTCTATTACTGAACAAGTTTCTGCAAACTCAGAGTATTTGAATATAAAATAGAGCTTGTCTTTTAGAAGAAATCCATTGTTTATAAATCAATCAACTGGGATTAATTTAAAGTTCAAGTCATGTAAATCATGCAAAATAAGCCCACATTTATACTAAAATACATTCCTACAGCCAAAGAAAAAAGGCTACAAAGAGTAATGCACATCCTGGCCAAAGAGTAAAACATGAAGAGTAATTATTCATGCACATCCTGGCCAAAGACAGGCGGAAAGTTTGTACTCACAAGTTTTGCCAGGAGCTGAGACACTGACTCCCTCCCCATCAGAATAGACAGGGGTTACAGTAATTTTGTATTCTGTATCAGACAGCAGAGGGTGAAGCAGAAGAGTGTTTTGTCTGCCAGGCACCATCACCTGGAGGGTCAGAAAATGCAGAAACAATCAAGCTTAATGACTGTAGCCAAACCACTTTATCTTACATACTTTCTAACACCACATTGCACTAGCATTGCTATATAGCTTGCATTTTCATATATTATTGATGCTCTACAGTAAAATAAAATCACTACATTATCCACCCTTTTAACAGATCTACTGTTATACCAAAACAAAATAAAGGAAATGTTCCTATGAGATAACAGTTTTATATTAAACCTATGAGCCACTACAGGTCCATAACCCACTGGTGCTGTTTGGATCATAAATACTTAAACTATTTCACTCTGTAGACAAAATACATCCTCTTGATGTATTTACTCTGGACATATTTAGATTTTCTGAAGCTCAGCGATAAAGGCTGATTGTTTTGTTCTCTGGAGACAAAAAATTCTCCTTCCCTGGGAGGAAGGAAAATCAAGTTATGAGATCTGGAAGCATTGAACTGAGCAGACACGAATAAAAGATGTTTTTCTTGTCTGCATCTAGGCTGGAGACAAGCAAATGAAGGTTGCAATTTAGGAGAGAAAGTAGGATGGCAACACACAAATACCACAGGATCCCAAACTGCCATGAAACATGGAAGATCTGCCAGAAGAATCCAACCAGGCAACCTGGCAGTGGAGCAGCTGTAGAAATTCCTCTGGGCAGTTTTTGTTCTAGACTACATGTTTCAGCCTGCTGAACTAAGCACAGTGAAAGGTTTCCCTACAAGCAGCTAGTTCTAAAACTCTTCAATAGATTATTGTATTTTAGCCAGAGCCTCAAAAACCATTATCACAATAGTGGTGGCAGGAGTGCCAAGAAAAACCTTGCAATTTCTTAAGTTGCCAGTAAAATTCAATCTCAGAGAACCTCCAAAGCCTGTATGGGAGCCACTTCCACCACATGCTATGGGCACAGTAAAAAAGAGAAACTGTTGCTGTTTCCTGGGCAGAGATCTGTGCTCTGAAGTGATGCTGTTGGAAGCAAACCCCAGAGTCCAACGTCACATTTTGGACATTCCCTGGCCCATGTCCATTGTGTGAATCTGTCACCTGAGCCAGCAACTACACGGGTTTGGCAAGAAGTTGAGAGCATAAGCCCTTTAAACTCATGGGAGAAAAGCAGAAAGCAGATCTATAAAAGCTTTTTGTTGTTTCAAAGAAGACTGATGCATGTGATGATGGCAAAGGTTTGAAGCATATGCTCAAGAAAGGTCTCACCCGTTTAACACTCCAGGATACATTCAAACTACTTCTAGTTTTGGCAAGTGATACAAAGAAGGAAATTTATCTAGTGCACCCAGGTGTTGAGACTTGTCAAAGTGCTTCATTCTTTGATCAAAACTGAACTTCAGTCATTAATAAATGTTCTTGAAAGATTTTCACATTCCTCTTCCATACACATGCATTCAAAACACACAAAATAAGTTTCTGAAAAAATCCAACCCAGTGAATTTTTTGAGTTTTCAGAACAGTGGATGCAAGCATTGAGAACTCTCCTCTCCACATGTGCATAATCTTCCACAGATCAATATAGCTTTCAGCAGTGAGAAACATTGTTGGCTTTAAAGAAGAGAAAAAATTTGATCTCTCCAGTGTACAGCACACCCAAGAACACACATGCAATTTATAGCTTGACCTCTCTGCATTCTATTACATTTCCTAGTCCCTGATTTTCAGCCAATTGCATCAAGAATTATAAAGCTTATTAATAATTTTATGGAAAGGGAGGAGTAACTGAAACTTATATCACTGAAATCAGAGCCAAAAATCTTAAGTACTCAGCACAGAACTGTCACGCTATAGTACATGTAAGCCCAAATTCCACAAAACTTTTGGTTGGTTTCTGCCTAAAAATGTACTAAGCATATAAACACTCCTCTAAAATTGAACATCTGTGGTGTTTTATTGACATCTGTTGTGCACCTCTCAGGTGCTTGAAGTCACATGGTAAAATATTCTCCTTCAATTAAAATGTGCCTAATTCTAAGTATAATCTTACATAAAATCCTTTTTTCAGTGAAGTATTTATGCACGTGATTCATTTCAAAGACAAAATGTGGTTAATCTGTTTGCTGAATTGTGACCAAAGATAAGGCTTGAGAGTGTACTTAAAATTTAAAAAATTGTGAGAATAGAGCCAAGATACCTAACTAATCATGCAGTTTTATAATGTTATTTAATGAACTTTTAATTCTGCTATAATGTCATTTTGATAGCCACAATTTTAATACCTTTCCTACAGTTTTAATTTCATTTTCATATTGAATACTAAAGCAGAATGACATTTATACTATCCAACTGAACTAGAAAGGTGAAACAGTAAATCTGGGATCTGAATTTCAGAAAATCTGGGTTATTCTCAGAACAGTACAATTTGTGTCATTATACTGTGCAAGTCCTTCACTTTATTATATAGTATACTAACATTTAGTTGAGGTAAGATCATAGAGCATGTTTCCTAGTCCAAAAGGATGTCACTACACTGAAAATTAATTTTCCGTTCATAGTTGAAATAGGTGGTTAAAAAGTACATTTGCAGTAGGATCTCAGAAAAGATGAACAAATGAATAAAACTGAAATGGAAAAAGACAGATTCATATTTTCCTAGAAAAAAAAATATTCTGCACCTTTTAATATTTTTATTGAAATACCCTGATATAGGGCTACAAATGTCAGCTGCTAAATATCAAAAAGAATAACCCACATTTTTTAACTGCCCTATGAAAAGAAGTGACACAGAGGAAGAATTATAAGGAATATTTTTTGCATTCTAAGCTAAGGAAATAACCTTGAAACACAACTTAACCTTTTAAATTTACTTACTTGGAGCCATCCCAAAATTTTATAACAGATTTTGTGGAACACTGATGATACCGCACTACAATACTACATTTTCCCCAAATTAAAAATTATTTTCTAAAAAGGCATTTTGCCTAGCTGAATTCTGAAGGTATCTCAAAAATTGTGCAATGTTAAAATAATGGAGCTCAGGTTTCTTTTTTTGTTGGGGAGGGTGAGTTTTGGTTTGTTTGCTATATGGTCAAAAGAGTACATGCAGTGCTCTTCATTCTCTCAAATATTTTCCAAATCTTAACCTGAAATTTTTCAGTATAGGATAAGTTTAATCTTGATCAACACATGGCATTGGAAAAAAAACCAAATATTCTCAGGAACTTAGATTAAAAAGTGCTGTCCTTATTGTGACATGTTTGGGTTAATGAGAAATATGAAAACTCTGCATTTGAACTTTAATTTCATTGCTTTAGCATAACAGAGAAGAGAAGAGAAGAGAAGAGAAGAGAAATTGCTGAAGGAAAAGAAAAATTGCTTAAGACAAATAAGTGTCAGTAAAGAGAAGAGAAGAGAAGAGAAGAGAAGAGAAGAGAGAAGTAAAATTGCTGAAAGAAAACAAAAATTGCTCTAAGACTGTACAAACATTTAAGTGTCATTAAAACACAATCTCAGGATAGAAAAATGTCTAGGAGTAAAAACAAAATTAAAAATATAAAATTCAACTTGGATGAATTAAAAAAATACAGGAAAAAAAAAAAAGACAGCCAGCTCCTTTTTTAACTGTGAGCTCATTAAACTTTTGTGTGACTGAGCCTTGATCTGACACTCGACTGCTGCTGCCTGCAGTGCAGCATGTGCTGCACAATTAGAACTTTGAGGTTCAAGCCCACAGTAATATCAAACACAGGTCCTCTATTAATGGCAACAAAACTGTCATATAAGAAGATATCACTTCTTAGCAATTATTAAAGAAGCTTGTGAAGCCAACAGCAAAACTCATACAGACCATTCTTACTGCTTCCTCAGCACGGTCCCCTTCTGCAGTGAGGTAGGTCACTCTGAACTGCTGAACGCTGTAGTCAGAAATGTCCCATGTCACCCTCAGGCTTGAGGTTGTTTCATCATCTATAACAAGGTTTCTGACTCCTGTTCGAAAAACTAAATCCAGAAATATTTAATTATTATTTTTTCAATTATATTTTTACATTTAATACCATTTTTATATTGTGGTGATTATCACCAAGTAGCTGCAAGCTCTCCTGAAGTCACGTGGCTCTGAAGATCCACAGTGGGGCAATACCTTATAGCTCAGTCATATATGGGCTTAATAACATAGAAACAGTAGGCAATTACTAAAATAATAGCTATCCTATACTTCTATTAACATATAATATCCCATCTGCTTTGTTTATCTTACTCAGTTCACAGATCTTTAAAATAATCCAAGCTAGAATGCTGCAGAAGAGAAATAACCCAGAAATGTTGTTCCCTAAAATCAGTTGTCTAATTACAGGGAAAAGAAAGAGAACACCCAAAACTAAACAAAATTCTGAAGAGTTCCCAAGCTCATATTTATAAAGGGAAAGAGAAATTCCAGGTGAATTTTCCAAACCAGTCTCTGTACTCAGAATCCCCACTCTGAGTAGGGGGTTCACTCCTTGTCCAAACACGGCCTGGGCAGGAGGTTGGCCATGCAGAAGGGGGTGCAGAGCAGCACAGTGACCTGCCTTCCCTTCAGGAGCATCCTCAGGAGTATCCCAGCTCTCTCCACAGCCCTGGGGGTGCCTGTGGGCAGGCTCAGAGCTTTGCACTCAGCATTTGAACTGCTGGCATTTGCTGTGCTCACCTGCTGTGCTGGGCTCAGGGCTCGGGGCGCTGGTGGTGGTCACCCTAGAAATGTTGTTCCCTAAAATCAGTTGTCTAATTACAGGGAAAAGAAAGAGAACACCCAAAACTAAACAAAATTCTGAAGAGTTCCCAAGCTCATATTTATAAAGGGAAAGAGAAATTCCAGGTGAATTTTCCAAACCAGTCTCTGTACTCAGAATCCCCACTCTGAGTAGGGGGTTCACTCCTTGTCCAAACACGGCCTGGGCAGGAGGTTGGCCATGCAGAAGGGGGTGCAGAGCAGCACAGTGACCTGCCTTCCCTTCAGGAGCATCCTCAGGAGTATCCCAGCTCTCTCCACAGCCCTGGGGGTGCCTGTGGGCAGGCTCAGAGCTTTGCACTCAGCATTTGAACTGCTGGCATTTGCTGTGCTCACCTGCTGTGCTGGGCTCAGGGCTCGGGGCGCTGGTGGTGGTAGGGGGCTGGGCACTGTGGTAGCACTTGCAGCTGAAAAACAGGATTCTGTCACTAGCAGCTCAACAAAACATGGAAGTCACAGCATTCTTCTTGTATGTCTGACTGTGACAATGAAACTGTGTGCTCACACCTACAAGTACCCCACACACTTCAGACATTTCAGAGACTACAAGAGAATTATTCATTTAATTTACTTTAGGCACATATATTTGCAGAATTAGCATTTAGATCTGGAGATAAGACATAACCATAAACTGTATAATCAAATAAGAATGCATATATTTTTACAAATTTCTGGCTGAACTATGCACAATAGACTTCCACTCTGACGATTTGTTAAGGTTGTCAAATTAATTAAACTGAAAGTTTTTTAAGGGTGTTTTACTTCTGTCCAAGTAAAAAACAGAAAGTACACTCAGCAACACTGGGAAGTATCAGCATCATTTAGATGGGTGTAGGCTTCTTGTTTTAACAGAAGATTTAGAATTAAGCCTACAGTTAAATTACTAAAAACAAATAAATTTTAGAATTTACACCTAAGAAATAAAGTAGTTTACTTATCCAAGTAATTATCAATAAAAAGAGAATAGAGCAATCTTCCTGAAATACAGGCCACTGCTTTGATAATAAAATATAAAATAAGCTGGACATGATTATCAAGTTTTATCTTTGTTATTTCATGTCAATACCACAGGAGGCTGTGTAAGCTTTTTGGACCATTATTTCAGCCAAGAGTGAATTCACCTCTAGTGACTATAAATTACATAAATAAGAAAAGAGTATACTGAAAATGCCAAACATCTTAAATGAAATTCCTGTAAATTATTTACTTTAAAACATTTAACACACATCCCTTCCAAAATCTGATGTACCTTCTCACAAGGAACCCTGTTCAAAGACTAAGTATTAAAATGTAGGATGGAAGAATATCTACCCACATCCAAAGGTTATTAATACCACAGCTCAGAAAAAGAGCCAAACCACTATTTTGATTCAATGCCACCTTTCACATAATATTAAATAGGAAAAGCAAAAACTAGTCAGCAAAGCCCTGATGCTAAACCACTACATTCTGCAATATTAAAGCTACCCAAGACGAGAAATATGTTCTATATATAAGATATATGCCTCAAATTTAAATAGCTTAAATATTTTTTTTAATTGCAATCAAGAGTTTGTCTTACATGTAGCTCCAAGAATGGCAACAACTTCGCTTTCACTTTCGTCATCAAAAACTGCCAGCAGAGAAACTTCATATTCTGTGTCAGGCAACAGACCCTCTATAACATGACTGTCTGCATCTCCATTTATGACCACCTAAGTTACACAGCAAGATTGAAGAGTATCAGTTCAGCATCTGATTATTTTATATGAATTGACTGAAATGAAAGAATGAAAATAGATTTTCCTTTAAAATAAATGAGATCTACACTCAGATCTGCCCAAAAATTTACTACTACCACAGAGTACATCTGGAAAAAACACTTAAGAATATTTAAAATGTATAGTATTATGCTTTCACCAACAGCTATTTAATTGCTAAATCTGACCATATGCTTTTTTTTTAATCACTACAATTCAAAACATTTATCAATAAAAACAACATTGCAGGATGGATTAACTTCAATTCATATTTCTTCTATTCAACCATTGTTATGACAAATGCATTCAGTATGTGCCCTGCCTTAAAAAAGGCTGTTTCAATAGCAGAACTGTAATCTCAGTTATGGTTCCACACTTCTGAATGGAACTTGAAAGAACATTGTGCTTCAGATTTGAGGGTTAGGAGAGATGTGATGATGATTAGTTTGCTATATGGTGTGAAGTTTTAAATAGTAATTTTCCTCGTTTCTAGCTATGACAGCAGCAAAGATTGACATGCAGTGTAAACTGTAAGCAGGTTTCAATTCAGATTTTTGTGTGTTTCATTTATTTTATTGGAAGGGATCACCAGAAGGGGAGGAGCTGGAACAAAAGGGACTACACAACAGAAGGTACAGGAGCCTGAGCAGTAATTCTGGTGAAATGGGCTGGCCAGTTTTGGGAACAGTTTTCAGGTTACACAAACAGACAGTACAACAAAACAACCTTTCTCTGGGTTAACACTGACAAGTTTTTAAAGGTGGTTACAGTTTACTCAACATCAAACTTAGACTCATAATGGAAATCAAACAATAGACATGTCCTGTGTAAAATCTGCCACTGAGGTTTGCAGAAACAGTGAATCACACTTCCCTATTTAACTACCACAGGACATTTCCTGAGTTGGTCCTGGGGAAAAAGAACCCATAACACAATTGCAGACCTTCTGAACTCAAATACAAAAAGAAAAACAGAAAAAAATTGATTGGGGCCATGTCTTCTACAACTACCAAGTAATGAATCAGGCATCCCATGCTGCACACTTTTGGCACAGATATCCTTGGAAAAATTTCAGGAATAAACTTTGAGTGAATCTAGCTGTATACTAAGTAGGTGCATGTAATGCCTTTCTTTTCAACTCCCCAGTGCCTCTGGTTGTGTATCAAATAATTATAAAATATTTATACATAATTACTCTCTCACAAGTAACTTTGGCATACTTTCTGAAGCATCACTTCCTCCATCCTCCCCTCTTAGCTAGAAAAAACAACACAAAGTGCTGAACTTTCAAGTGGGCAGGACAAACAGCAGCAACAAGCACACAAGTACAACATTCTCTACTTTAAGCTAGAAATAAAAGGTCCCCCTTAAATTTATTCTGGCTTTTTAGTGCTAACACCTGACTGCAGGCTCCTCGCCCTTCAGCAGGGTGGGATGAGAGCTGTGTGATTAACCACTGTCCCCTGACCCCTCTCAGCTCACTGGCAAGTTGGGTCTTGGGAGAAAGAAGGAGGGAGTGCATGTCCTTTGTCTGCATGACTGATCACTTAGCGGGGAAAGAAGCTTAAAGAGGCAGCAGCCTGGAGGAATTGTGCTATCCTGGGCCTGACCCCATTAGAGAGGTCATGCAAGGAGAAGGAGAAAGCACCTCAGGCATCTTTAATGTTTCAGCATTCTAAAATATTGGAGCCTCCAGCAGTTCTCTGTGAATACAGTGAACAAGTAGAACCTTAGCAGTTCAAATATTTCTTAATAATTCATTCTCACACTGAAAGAATACAGATACCTCAAATCTCACTTAAAAATGTGACTTGAGGGTTTTCACTGGCAGCTACTCACTGGAACTGAAATAGAAACAAATGAGTTCATCTACTGCAGAAGAAACTGCTAGTGGATGACCTATGTCCACTCACTCATCTGCCAACTCCTTCTTTTCCCTGCTCACTCCTCTAATTTCTCTCTTTCTTGCATGACTACCTCTCACTAGGCGAAAGAGAGGAAAAGAATTAGACTAAGCTAAATTTACAGAAAAAATGACACATAACCTAAGCTATAATGACTGCCTTCTGCCCTAATGGATGACAAAATAATACAGGGAACCGAGGGCCAGGTGGGAAATGTCATTTTTCCCCCTGACTTCTGTACCCAGATAAACAGTTTGCAGATGTGGCCTCCCCACACACTGCTGATGCCAAGAGAGAAAGATGCTTGAGAGTCACTAAAGACTGAGAATTACAAAAGAAGACAAATAATGAGTTAATAAATAAAGAAAAAGAGGAAATAAGACAGACTATGAAAATTTGGGAAAGCAGAGAAAGTGTCTGTCTTTCTACTTGAAAAAAAAATTAAAAAGGAGAAGCTAAAGAAATGAAAATAATTTAAAAATTTAGACTGATGGAAAGGGTACTATGGAAAAAGTGTACAAGGGCTTAATGCAAAAGATGAGAGGGGAAAAAGAGAAAACATAAAGAGGAATAGATGAACAATCTAATAAATTAACTATGTGTACACTTTTCCCTTTGTAATGTCACTTAATAAGGCTTCAGAGGCAATTTTACTGTGGCCAGCACATTAGACAAACTTGGAGCTTTATGTGAGGATATCACTACTCTGACTCAGCTACCATCACCATCTTCACATCAAAGAGAAGAACATGAACCACTAAAAACTGAAGCAGACCCAAATAACAATGCTAGTTCTAAGGCTGCTGACAAATTACAGATTAGATTTTGACTATTCACAAAATATCTCTTTTTTCCCTATTTCCTCTTCAGAAAAAATCTGGAATATTGGTTTGATTTTTGTTTAGAGAGCTTTGCAGTGGGGTAGATTTTTCTGTAAGTCAATTGGCCATATTTAATTAGCAAACGTTGCTGCAGAGTTGTCCACAGAATGGAATTCTCCCTTCATTTCACCCCTTGGGATGTCAGGGCAGCTTACCTCCTCAGACTCCCCTCCATCCAAAGGAATCCATGCCAATCTGTAAAAAGCAATATCTGATGAGGTGGGCTTCCAGCTGACCCTGAAGCTATCTGTTGATACTTCATCAATTTCCAAATGCTGGGGAGCTGGAACTCTTTCTGGAAAATATTACACACAAGAAAAGTGAGAGTGAATTATGCCTTGACACTTCCATAGATGGCAACATCAGGCACACACCATTTTACTTGCAGTTTCTTAAAAGAGTATAATATGGGAAGCAGACACCAAAGGCACTACAGAATTCTTTGCCCACTTATTGGTTCTTAGAGAAGTAGTTCTGTAGTTCAAGGAAGGGAATAGACTCTTTATTCTCAAGAGTCAATAGACTCTTTATTTATGACTCAAGGACAGGCCTCCTTGCCCTCTCTCCATTAAAGGAACTGCATGCAGCCCTAAGTCCATCTCCTTTGCTCAGAGCTCTGTGCACAAGGCGTTTTTCTTGTACTCAAAGCCAAGTCCCAGTCTCTGCCCTTTCCAGACTCTGTGTACATTTCCATTTACACTTTGCAAGTGTCAACATCTTGCTCCATATATGCAAGTTCTCCCTTCCTCTTCCACCCCATCTTTCTCTTTCCTCTCTTTCCTCCTTTCTCTTCCCATTGTTGTTGGAAAGCATTGATATGTGTCATCAGCCATTTGTTTAATGCAGAACTACAGTTACAGAAACTGTAACTGTGTTAAACAAACTGCAGGAACTTTGAATCTCTTATATTTTCTCCTTTTGATGTAGTTCCCCCGTATGTATATAAGATTTTACCCCCTAGTGCCTGGACAGTTCAGTGGTTAAATGTATGATTCAAAACTCATCACACTTCATCTGGAGATACAAATGCCATCACACCGAATAATGCTTCAGAAAGCTGTGGAGATGTTTTCATGATGTCAAGAGATTACTCATGTGAGTAAAGAGGCATCTGGCCCCATAGTAAGGGAGCAAAGAAGCCAAGAGCAGCAATGAAAATAACAGAAAGCATTCCATATATTTGAATTCACAGCCAGAGACCTTTGCTGTAACTAATCTTACTTTCCAGTAACATAAGAAAGTATAAAATTTCTTCTTGGAAAGCCCTCAGAAGTTCAGCAATACTCACTTGTGGTAAAGCTGCCAGTAAGTGGTTCAGATTGTCCCTCATCGTACTGGGAGAAAAGAGCAACAGTGTACTCTGTAAGGGGTGCCAAACTTTTCAGAGTATGGGTTGAAACACGACCAACTTCCACCTAGAGAAAGCATAATTTTCAGTAGATATTGACTATACAATATCAGTGGGTGACATTCTTCTGGGTAATAATGATACAGAAGGAGTATGTCGTGCAATTAGTAGAGAAATTCAGTGAAACTATGAACAAGTATAAACTCAGTTCCATCAAAGCTGACAAAACCAGTTATAACAGAAAAATTACAAAAATTGAGAATTTTGCATTTATGGCAAACCATGAAAAAGGAGAATTCAGCCTTGGTAAGCCCAGCTGTTCAGCTAATATCAGAACTGCATGTTCAGGAACCCAGAAGGGGAAGGAGCTTTTTGGGCTACTAAATCTAACCTCTTATCATGGCCAATCACTGCATAAAACCCTTATCTTTAACGTTTGTCAAGAGACAGATGAGAGTTTTGTCTGGTCTCTCTCCAGGCTGCAGTTAAGTGACTTTGCCAGGGACATAAAACTCAAAGCTGTATAAACAGTTTATCAGTGCAGCTATTCAGTGCCACGTTAGCTCAGCACCACAGGGAAAATGCTACCAGTGCAGAGCAAACAAGAACATGCCACCTGTTCTTTGAACAAAGGAAAAGTGAACTGAACATTCACTCACATTACGAAGTATACTACGATGAGCCTGACATGTTCAAATATCACTGTGCCCAGGACACTCAGGCATACTATCTATATTAAGGGTAATCAATAGGAAAAGGCCAAGTTGTTTCTCATTTAAATTTTAAGGGATCTAGCAGAAAGAAAAGAAACAAAACATTGCATAGGTATGCTCCTTTCTAAAGCTGAGAGCCATTTCTTCAGGTTCAATACAAATACTCCACTTTATACATATAAAAGGCCAGATATGTCCCACAAGAAACATAACTACAGATAACTACCATTGAAGACTTCTTTTTCTTGAGGGCCAAGTTATTTGTGACAACTTATTTCCTAAAGGACCTGGACTGTTTTAATAATCAAACACACTTATTGCATTTTTAATGTGTATTTTTTTTTAAATGTATTAATATTTCAGTATGAATCATTCTATCCCATTATGCATTCTATCACAGAATTCATGCTGTTATTATAAAGCACCCTTGGTAACAAGGCAGAAATAAATACTGCAAATTATTAAGTATAAGAGTCTAAGTTAGAACATCTTGGTATTGCCTTAGCACTCTGTTCAAGCCAAATCCTGTTTCTAGAGATTCTCAACATATAATTAAAGCAATAAATATTGAGAAAATGTGGCAAAGCCTTCAGATGGTCTTTTTGAATGAGCTTGAGCCCATGATATGTGATACATCAAAAGTCTTATTGTCTGAAGTGAATAATGAGTAAATATTTCCATACTATACATTTAGTCAAGACCCTGCTCCTAGCAAACCACTGTCCCCTGGTCTCCCTCAGTTTAGGTGCTCCTGACTGCTCAGAGCACTCTCCCCAGCATACGTACATCCAACTTCAAGCAAACTCTTATTTACACCAAGTTTCAGAATTCTCTTGAAATCTTTTTTTAGAGCTTGCATGGTAGATTTGTTTAGTAAACATTATCCCTAATAATTACAGAAGTTTGGGAAGGTTTGAGACTGGTTAAGGGAAAAGTGTTGCTAAAATTTACCTCATTGGTTTCTGTTCCGTCTGTTTTGACATACATGATGCGATAGCCATTTATGTTTTTGGAAGCAGGATCCCAGGATAGCTTGGCACTATTGTGTCCAACATCAGAAAATTTCAAGTTTGCTGGTGGACTTAGAGGCACTTGAAAAGAAAGAAGTAAAACCATGAAAGTGATCCCAGGTTTTAGCTGGAGCACTCTCCCCAGCATACGTACATCCAACTTCAAGTAAAATCTTATTGACACCAAGTTTCAGAATTCTCTTGAAATCTTTTTTTAGAGCTTGCATGGTCGCTTTTTTTTATAAACATTATCCCTAATAATTACAGAAGTTTGGGAAGGTTTGAGACTGGTTAAGGGAAAAGTGTTGCTAAAATTTACCTCATTGGTTTCTGTTCCGTCTGTTTTGACATACATGATGCGATAGCCATTTATGTTTTTGGAAGCAGGATCCCAGGATAGCTTGGCACTATTGTGTCCAACATCAGAAAATTTCAAGTTTGCTGGTGGACTTAGAGGCACTTGAAAAGAAAATAAGTAAAACCATAAAAGTCATCCCAGGTTTTAGCTATGAAATTTTTCATGTCTTAATAATAAATAGTATGTTTTCCATTCAAAAATTTATATCACCAGTATTTCTATTCAAAGGCCTACATTAATGAAGCTACAAAAGTACTTAAAGGCTGGTAAAAGGACTTAGCTCTTTACTGAAACAGAACCTCCAGATTTGCTAAATGTATCTCAACTGATACTGATAAAGAAATAAGTTATGATGTTCACTGCAGATATCACAGCAAGATTTAGCCTACAGAACACTTGCAATAGATTTGGGGTTGTATTTGTGAATTAATTTAATCCAGCTAGATCTTTACCCTATACACATTCAATTGTTATGTGTATTCCAGCAAAAATACTTAATGACAGCAGAATTTGGGCAAAAACTTTTCTGAATCCTAAAAGATCTTGATATAAGGGTAAGTCTGTCCAAAAAGCATAACCAGCTGAGATCTCCACAGATGCTACTTTTTACCTCTGCCCACTCTTTCTGTTAGGAAACCTTAGCTGTTTCTCAACAACAATCCCAGTTAAAGCCTTACTTTTATTCTATATATTCCTTGACTGTCACGAGCTGAAGGAAAATGAGGTCATGCAAGAGACAGTCTCAGATTACACCCACTTCTCTGTCACACCACAGAAAGCAATTTGTGCTGTCTGTTACTCTCAGCAGTAAGTTCTGTATTAGTCCAACATCTGCTACTTTCCTCTGAATTATAAAACCTTTCTCCATCCATCCTGCCTTCACACACACACTCCTCACCAGTCCACGTGGACAGATAAATATCAGCACTTCAGAAGCTGCTTCCCTCACACAATAGCACCTGGGAAAAAGCAAAGATTTTGAAGGCCTCATATTTTCTGTGAGATCTCTAGCCAGGCCATTTATCAATCCAGTTTAGGAACAACCAGCTTAGGAACAGTGAAGTCAGCTTGGCTCTGAGAAAAGAGAAGACAGGAACGGAGATCTCTAGCCAGGCCATTTATCAATCCAGAATCTGCAACCAGCTTAGGAACAGTGAAGTCAACTTGGCTCTGAGAAAAGAGAGGACGGGAATACACTGGAACTGTAGCAGATGGGTTTGCCACACATTCTGGCATTCAACATATTCCTCTGAGTCTGGTGAAGGGAGTATCACGTGCTGGCTTTCCTTTCTACTTTCTGTCAGTCATGAAATGCACTCCATTCCACCATCCAGGTCATACAAGAGAACACGTCAGTCTCAGCTCCTTCCTCTTGGAGCCACCTCCTGACAGCATTGCTCTCCACCACAGTCCTGGTGCCAGACTTACGTGATATTTACAGCCAGTCTTGGATGAATCCTGGCCACAAAATGAAACTACACCCTAGAATGAGCTTGCTGAGCATGTCTCTGTTTGGCATAGGGAAGGTTTTGCTACAGTAACCAAGATGATACAATGAATAGAATATTATTTACTAAACACAGATTATTAGATAATACACCTAATACTACAGCATATTTGGCAGATGACTCTTCAGGCAGATATGTGCTCCTGAAACAAAATACCAGATAGCCTATTCCTTAATTGTAAGCCAGAAATAATCACACTGAAAGAAAAAAGAGGGGAAAAAAAAAAGAAAAAAGAAGCTTAAATCAGATTCTGGACAGGTAAGGCATTACTGTTAAACACCAAAAATGTGGGACAGGCATGATCACCAGGAGCTTTCTCCCTCCCAGATTGCCCCACTACCTGATTCATCTAAGCCTGCTAGCAGAGGGGCTTATTTGAATAGCTGCATGACAGAATCCATCTTCTTTCAGTCCTATAGACCAGAGATGGCTGCATTGTGTCATCCTAAAAAGAAATGAAGGTTGCAGAGAAGTGAGTTGGTTTGTTTTTTTTTTTACTGGTCTAGTAGCAGCAGTAGTGATGATGGGCTGACTAACACATGTTGCAATGTTCTGTGATCAGACAGTGGTCATGAAAGCTCAGCTTGTACCAATGTATCTGGAATTTGTATGTGATCTTCCATCCAATGTGTTAGCCAGGTTTAGAGCTCTGTATTCTCCAAGATTCTCCATATGGTATGAAGTGAATAGAAGCTGCCATAGTCCAAAACTACATAAACTACTGTTTAGGAGAAATGAAAATCTGATACTGGGTAGATATTGGCCAAAGGCCAGGGTGGGAGATACAGGCAGGGGGGCTGTGCAAGATGAGGAGTGAGGCATAAAGAGACAGAGAAAGGTAGGGAGGGATAAGGAGCCAAAGATTTGATTCTCTTTGTTGGGAATCTTCTACACTCATTTCAAATTGACAAACATGCCCAAGTTGCAGTAGTTTGCTATTGGAACTTGTCTGTTCACCACTGTCCTCCTAGAGGAGACCCAGCAAACACCATTCCTAGAGCTTCTTCCACAACTGCTTGCTGACCTTACAAGGAATTGCTCTGGGGTTTATTTTCCCTAGCACTCACATGCCTGAACTCCTCTCACTTATTAAATGTAAGTCACTTTCACCCTGACCGGGTTACTCATGCCAGGAGCACAAAATAAGAGGATTCACTCACTCCCCTGCTGGGAGCAATAGAGATGTCACTGAATGCAGTCCCAGAAATGTCCCAGAAGCACAATTACTTATTTCAATTCCTTTGTCTTCCAAAGGCTGGAGCTCTTTAGAGAGCTGACATACAGTCTGTGCAGTTTGCAGAGGACAGAATTTAGCTGGCAAAACTCTTGCTGCTTATTAAAAACACACCATCTATCCTGAGTGCACAGGCACTTTCCAACCCTCCATTTACCAGATGTTAGGCAGCAGGGTTGGACAGAAATCTTCTCTTTGCTTCTCTTCTCTCTGTACTACTACTGAGCCAGAGGAATTACTTTCTCTGTATGAGCAGGCTCACACACACACCTGGTTTTCTAGCTAGAGGAGCCTAAACAGAGCATGTTTCTGTTTTCACCATGAAGGTCTACGTGGTGACCTTCATTCGCTTTCAGCAAGTTCAGAAAACAGTCAGGAATTTAACCAAGATCAGTGGGGGCATCCATAGCGCCACTAACAACGAGAGAGACAAGTTCACAATCTTGTTGCAAAACCAAGCTGCTTTGTAGAAATCCTCAGTCTTTGTAAATTGAGTATCCACAGCGAGAAACTTATGTAAAGACCTTGCCCAGTTGTTCAAATCAGATAATCAGCTGTTTCCTCTAATATGTGCAAAGACCATTCTGAAGATTTGTTGACACTGAAGTGAATATGGATTCAAGATACCTACATGTAGTTTCTTGTCCTGTGAGGGGATCACTAGCTTCTTCTCCAAACATGGCATAAACTGTGACTGTATATTCTGTATTTGGCAATAGTCCATCCAGTTCAAGATCTGTTGACGTCTCCCCAATTTTTATCTAAAAACACCATGAATCAAAAAAGATACATTATTTCTGAATTAGCTTATAATGAGGAATAATACCAGTTAAATACTTGAAATTAGATATATTATCAAATTTTCTGCTGAGCATTTGTCTGACACTGTGCCTGCAGTGCTTTGCCCAAGGTTTTGGGATTTTGCACAATAATTAAAAGGTTAAAACTTTCAAAAGCCGTAAGCCAACACACATTTAAAAGGACTTGAAAAGTGACTAATCACATTAGCAATGATAAAATATGCCTCTCCAGAATGAGCAGCTACTAAGGCCTTTTTCTATCTACCTTTTCTTATTCCCGCTCCCATCTACACTTTGGTTCATCTTCAGTCGCAAATCTGAAAATCACATGAACCCATTGGAGGAATTGATTTCTGTGTACACTGAGGCTCAGATTTGTTGCTATTTGTATAATTTTCCTTTTCCACCTCTTTATGGAATAATATACTCACGTTAGCATGGACTGTACTTATTTCTTTGGGGTAAAGCTCAGTCCTCCTGCAGCAGCCAGTTCCCAGGGAGGCCCCACTTTTAACAGAATTACGTGCTCACAGGCACTGCTTTGGCAGTGAGCACAAGTCTGTGCTGGCTTTCAGCAGCTTCATGCCCCCTCCACAATCTCACATGCCCCTGCATGCTTTATAGTGCTCTTGCTTGAACACAGATATTCTACATAACCTTAATTATACATATATAAACTTCAGTGTAGAAATTTTTAAATCCTAGACCAGAAGTTCCATTGGTTTTATTATGTTAGTGACAGAACACTGATCTTTACCTTTTCCCCACTTCTTTTCCTTTGAAAGAATGCCTTCTAAAATCACTTTTGATGAAAAGTGATTTTAAAGACATTTAAAGATAAAGATTGAAGAGAATGAAAAGAAAACCAATGACAGTTTTGTTTCAGACCAACAAATTTTACTTACATTTAACGGTTCCGATAAGAACAAAGACTAAACTTCATATTTTTCTGCTGGCACACTTAGGAGATATCTTAGTTTTACTTGATTTTTTCCTTTGAGTGTTAGTTCTATATGACGATACAATATCACTTTATATAAAATTTCAAAACAGTCACATTCAGTTAAATTTGTTGCATTTTTATGTCAATGACATAGTAATAACCATCTGGCACTTGCACTTTATTCATAGCCTGTGACACATACAATACTTAATCAAGTAATGGGAAAAAAAAAAATATTTGCTGATCATACTGGATGTTAAAAAATATGTACTAGTTTGTTCTTTAAAAGACTGATTTTTTTTTATTAACTGCTATTCAAATGAAAGTACAGTACATCACCTCCTTCTCATCTGCTGCCAATCCTTCTGTGAGGGGAGCGTAGAGGATCATGTAGCCTGTGGCACCCTGCACCCCGTTCCACCTCACCCTCATGCTGCTCTGGGACACGTCGTACAGCTGCAGGTCCGAGGCCATGGGCAAGGCAACTGCAGTGCAACAAGAGACAGACACTTCAGTTCCCTCACTTGAACAACCAGCTATTCTTCAGTTTGGTTGCCCCAGGAAACACACAGGAATATAGCTGTCTCCAGCCATGGAAGTGCTGTCTGTATCCTACAAATAGGATCTAATTGATACATAAAAGAACTCAAAATCAGAGAAACAAGGAAACGTTAACACAAACCAATTCCAATGCCAGGGTAGATTTATGCCTCACAAAGCATTTCAGCATGGCTGCTATTAGGAACCAGTAGCAGTGTTAAGGGGTGGCTCTTTCAGGGAGTAGTTCCCAAACCAGAATGTGGCTGTGACAGGCCCTAGAAAACCCTTGGTGAGCACACTGCACAGATCAAAATATTTTGGCTGTAAACAATTGCCTGTTTAAAGCCTGGACTCTCCAAACTGGCACCAAGGCCTGTATCAGTGGGATTATGCAAATATGGGTAAGGTCATCCATTGCAAACCACGGCAAATGCTACCCTGGAGAGTGAGAGTAGGTTGAGTAAAATTCAAACAATATTAGGAAATTTATCTGGAAATTTAAAGCTCTGATACCAGAACACAGAACCAGTCTGCGCTTCGAAATGTTTATTTCCATTTCTGTAACTCTTCAGAGTAGTATTTTGCACTTTCCTGTTGTCCTCACTTTATTCCTCTCACAGAATAACATCCCATGGCCTCTCCACTGCTGGTACACCACTGAAGAATCCCACCAAAATATTCAGTCATTAATATGGAGAAATATTCAGGCATGAATATGGAGAGATATGAAGGAACTTCTCCTTTGAAATTTATACATTGACAATAATCCCCAAAATTACTGGAATGGTCTGAAAAAAAAAGAGAAGGCAATTGCTAACTGATACAAAATCTTTCCTATTTGAAATTCTGAAGAATCTGACCTGCACACAAATTTTCAGGAACAAATTCTAATATCACAGAGCTTCTCTGGACTCCTGGTCCAAGCAGAAGGTGCACCTTGTCAAGCTGGTAATCTCCAAGTACATCTCTACATTATGTTCAGCAAGATCTAACAGAGCTCTAACAGAACCCAGGCAGCCTCATCCTTTCTCATTCATTGAGGCTGTTCACTCAGTTTGTCATTCATGTCTGTAAACAGTGCCAAAACTTCAACCCAGGCTTCTCTTGAGGTTTCCACTTCCAGGTTACACCCCTACCCTCCAAACCTTTTTCAACCTACCTCCATCCAGTTTAAACCCTTGTTCTTGTATCGATTTTCATTCCCATGAATTCTCACAATTTCTCTAATTACAGTGAGAAACTACCCATGAACATGTTCAAATGTACTTCAGTCTCCTTGCTCAGAGCTCCACTGACACTTCTGATACCCACAGCAAGGAATGTTGAGATATTCTGAAGTCACCTTGCACCACATTGTCTAATTCCTATTCAAACTGCCCCAGGGTCACAGTGAGAGTATCCATCACCTGTTCTTCCCCTTATTTTGATTCTAAAAAACCTATAGGAAAAGTGTCCTCCAAATATAACTTATGGCTTGCATTTTCACTCTCAACAGGAACCTGCAGATACTCTGACAATACATATAAAACCTGACAAAGAGAAGACTGGAAATAAAATGGTGTTTTCTAGTGGAATTTTCAGCCAAAGAGCTCAGAATCTCAAATATAAATATTGAATAGATAATGCTGGTTTGCATCTTGGACAGTTACCAGACTATCCTAATACTCAGGTAACATAGGGATAAATTAAACCAACTAAAACCAGCTGAAATAAACTAAACCAGCTGGAATAGACTAAACCAGGTAAAAACATATTTTTAGCAAATTAATATGTGAATGAATTTAATGTTTATTTCAATTTAGAAGTGACTATGAAATCACAAAACTTTCTACTTATCTGTACATTATGCATCTGTTTAGATTTCACATACCTGTAAACTATTTCCAATGTTCTATATAAACAAATGCAATTTGTGACTATTTTAATCTGTAAGTATCTCTCACACAGGCAGGAATGTAAACTACAATTTTCCACAATTCTCCATAAGAATAGCAAAAAACCACTTTAAAACTGCAGGTATTTTTAGCATGTGGAGTGATTAACACTATTGCTTCCAACACACTGTCAAAGACAGCTGTATAAAATACTTGATGCTGCATGACCTTGGGGTGTGATCTGATCAAATCTCTGAAAGCCAGCAGGGCTGGGCTCTGTCAGAACTTGACTGGGTGACTTCAAAGGAATACCAGGTGCAACACAAAACAATCCTGTTGGCTCAGTTTGTGACTGTTCTCTAAGCTTCAATAAATCAAACAGGTCCTAACACTGCCTCATGGGGTATAACATGGCAGGAGATGACATTTTGGGGGACTAAGACTAAAAGAAAAGTCTAAAATAATTTTATATTTTTCTATTTTGTTTTCAGATTGAGGAGATTAGCACTGACATAGAATCAAAGAACCACCAAGGATAAAAGGCACCTCTTGAGGTCATCTGGTCTAATGAACTTCCCTGTTCAGTCACGTTCAGATAAAGCAGGTTGCTCAGAATCTTGTCCAGCTGGGCTTGAAATACCTCCAGAGATGCAGACTTCACAACCTCTCTGGACAACTTACTCCAGTGTTTGACCACCATTACAATAAAACTGTCTTTTCTTCTGTTCTAATTTCATTTCATGGGCTTTTAATTTGTGCCTATTGGCTCTTGTCCTGATAATAAGCACCGCTGAGAAAAGTGGCTCACTCCTCTTCTTCACTTCCTCACATCAGGGATTTTGACACATTGACAAGATCACCTGAGCCTTCTTTTCCCCAGGCTGGGCAGTCCAGATGTCCCAGACTCTTATGAAAGATGTGCCAAGACCTTATTCATCTTTACATCCCTTCACTGAAGTCACTATAGTAGGTTCACATCTCTCTTGTGTTGGGAGAACCCAGCCCAGGCATCCAGGTGTGGCCTCATCAGTGCAGAGCACAGGGCAAGAATCATCAGCTCCCTAGATCTGCTGGCAATCATTTTCTAAAGCAATCCAGAAGGCTCTTGGCCTCCTTTGTGACCAGGGTGCTCTGCTGGTTCACAGTCAGTTTGTTGTTTCCCAGGATGCCCAGGTCCTTCTCTGCAGAGCTCCCTTCCAGCTGGACACTCCTCAGAGTGTAGTGACACATGGGGCTGTCACTCATGAGGGTCAGGACTTTGCACTTCCCTTTTTTGAAATGCATAAGGTTAAACTTGTTTTCCTCTTCACATTGCTTGCCAGATTCAGCTCCAGCTGGTCTTGGCTTTTCTAAACTTACCCCTGCAAGATCAGACAGCAGCTTTAATACTTCTCCTGGGTCATTTGCCTCTTATACATCACTTATACACCATTTCTTTTTGATGTCTGAGTTCTGTTACAAGCTTCTTGATTATCCATGTGAGCCTCCAGCCAGCTGGTCACCAACTGGCCACAGGGACCTTTCCTGAGCTTGTAGGATGTGATCTCCTCTCCACCATCAGTTCTTTGTTTCTATGTATGAGCTGCAGCAAAGCACCTTCTCTTGCTGGCTTCTTGATCACTTGGGTCAGGAAGGTGGTAAAGCACTATAGAAATCCTATAGATTCCTTGAGCCCTGCTGCTCTGTTCTTTCAGCAGATATCAGTTATTGACATACCACAAATGGACTTCTTATCTCCTAGTCTGAGCTATGAAGTTACTCTTTACTTCCATTTCTAATATTTTCATATTTACTAAAAAAATCCCTGCACTTTGTATACAAATACATTAAATAAATACAAATACATTAAACGGTATTAAATGTATTAAGTCTTACAATATCCCAAGGCATCATTTTACAGACAGAAAATAATTAAATCATTGAGAAAGAAACTTACCTTGCAATCTTTGGCACTGGCAGGAATCACATGGAGGTATTTCAAGTCCCACCTAAATTTCCACTCATCAGATCATCTCCAGCTACAAATCTAGTTTGTAAAACTTGGTTCCACACCCAAAACATAGGAACGTTCTAATTTAGGGTTCAATACAACTGACTTCAAAGTTCAGCCCAGAGATAAAACCTTTCTCAGTGTTTAAATACCCACAGAGTATTCGGACTTAGGAGCTTAGCCCAGAATTATTAAAACAAAATTTAATTTAAGGCAAACACACTAAAAGAAGGTAAATTGAAAAAGACTCCCTCTCCCTTCTGTGTTTATTTCTCACAAAGACTAATGCCTGCACAGTCTGACTAAATGCAGAGAGTCAAATCTGCAGCAAGCACACCATGGATACTCACGTGTGGTTTCCGTCCCACGGAGGCCCTCACTGGCAGCGTTGGAGTAGATGGCAAACACAGCTACCTGGTACTCAGTCAAAGACATCAGGTTTTTCAGAACTGCTGTTGATTCACTTCCATCTACCACAACCTGTTTAAAAGAAAATTTAACTAAATATGCATAAAGCAAACAAACTATATTACCATCAAATCAATCTCTCTTTCAGGCAATTTTTGCACTGTACTAAAGTTCGGTTCATGCTGCATTTATATACAGTAAAGTGTCTGAAAGGAACAGTAACCATATACATAGTCAAAATGTTTATCTGCTATAAATAGCAATTCAGAACAAAGGTAAAGCTTAGCTGAATAAAGTGTATGGGATACAGCTTAAAGAAGTGTACTTTTTGATATATTTTATATTATCATCATAAATATTCCTTTAGTACTACATATATACACACACAGAGAGTACTTCAAAATTCCAACAATACATATCCATCCTAAGCTGGTTTCTAGTGCAAAAGAAAACAAAATATAACCTTAAATCCTTTTGCTCTTCTACATTTCCATTCAATTTGATAAGTTGTCAGCTGGAGTCAAAAGCTTGTTCCACTGCATTTTTTCCATCTCCAAAATGTTGAAGTCCCATTCAAATAAACAATTCCCTCCAAATTTTCAATGACCAATTGTAGATGTCCCAAAATGTGCAATCTTACCTTTATGAATATCTTTTTCTTAGAACTGAAAATGTGGCTTACCATCACCTCCTACCTCTTCTGTTCTTGCAAACAGAGTGGTGCAGGGGATGTCAGTAGAATTGTTCCATAAAGTAAACATATGTGTAAGAAAAAATGCATGCATTTCACCCCATCCCCTGAAAGTGATGATTATTATCATAGCACTTAATTTACTTTAAATTGTATAAGAGACATGTAGCCTGGCTACTGCCTAACCTTTGTCACCGTCCAGCGTGATCAACCTCCTTTCTGGAGCCCTCAGGGGGAATTTCAGGGTCCATTTAAAAGAGGACCACAGATTTCCTGTCTGGTTAGTTGCCCCTGCTGCATTAAAAACTTCTGGGCATCTTTTCCTCCTATTACCTCTTCTGGCTGTCCTCCTCGAGTGGGGTAGTACACCACCCTGTACTTTTCCACTTTGCCTGGTGCATGGCTCCAGCTGACCCGGAAGCCTCTCGCTGTCACCTCCGATGTGACCAAATCCGAAGGAGTCCCAAGAGAAGCAATTGTTCCTAGGTTGGAGACAACACACATTTTTATTCCCTTCTTGCATTATAATTGCTTGGTTTGTTATATATCCTGAAGCTCTAAATATTGTTCCTCATCAGAAAATCAAATAATTGGCTATTGCACACTTATTTAGGTTATTTTCAATGGAAAAAAAGGAATAATAATGAGTAGTGCACAAGGAGTTTCTCTGGGACCAAACCTCCCTGGTCTTTAATAGACCTTTATATGAAAAATACAAAAATACAACACTAAGCCTTCCTGACCTTCTTCCCATCACTATTTCCAGACCATTCTCCTGGGGATTTTTTCAGGTTGCTTTCCTCCCAGTCATGAAAAACCTACAAGTACATATACAGCTGTGATCTCCTGTGCTCCTCAGCAGGTTGGAAACTGATACTGCCTGTCAGCCTGCTGGAGAGACACAGTGAACAGTGATCTTATCTGGCAATCATTTTCCACAAAGATGTCTCATATATCCATTTTTTTTCCATTGTCTTCTGCTCAAGAGAGCCTTCCTTATTGATATATAGATAATATATCTATGTTTTATATATATATAAAAATATATATATCATATTGAATATATATTATATTCAATGTATACATATATATTATATTCCATATATCCATATATATTCTGAGAGAGAGAGAATAACTCAGCATTTCTGTGCTATTAAGGAATCACAAACCAATAAATAGAAAGAAAATCCACTGAAAACTTTCAGAAAGAAAGGCCTCAGGTAGAACTGTATTTCTGGCAAATTGCAACACTTTTTCATAGCCATTTTCTTCAGAAAAGCTAAAATATAAATAGTTGTAGTCAGAGGAGGTTTTTTCATATAAGAACAATTTTATTTGCTGCCATCTTTTCTTGCAAACCAAAATATATTTTTTTGTGTATTAAATTAAAAATGAGGAAAAAATCCATCAAGAGGAGGGACAAAGTAATCTAAATAATTGAAACTCCTGAGTACTGATGAGACAGTAAAAACATTAAGTTAGGAGATGGAAAGCACAGCACGATAATAACAATTCCATGTGCAGCTGTTAAACTAATTCATCCCCAAAACTGTATTACGAAAAGATTTCCTTACCCGCCACTTGGAAATACTTACAGCAGAATGAATGTACTTTTTTTTTTTGGTACTACCAAATACCATAATATTTACCTCTACTATAAACAGAGAGCAAAAGATCAGAGATATCTAACAAGAATAAAACATAGCTAGGAAGATAACTTCCCTGACAGCTGAAGCAAAAGAATATATAGCGTGAGTCTAGTGCCAGAAGCCAGCCTAGAACTGCAGGTATTTGATTTGCAGCTCTAAGTTCATCATAAATTACATTAAATTTTATTTCTGATTACCTTTGATTTCCTTTTCCTGCTCCTCTACTCGTGAGCACACTGTTCTGGTAAGACCTTCCACAATGGTATGCATGAAGTTAAAGTCAGCCACGTTGTAGACATGTGTGCTGTCAGGCTCAGAGGCAATCTCTTTGAGTTCATTTATATCTGCATTCTTTACACCTTTTATTGGAAAGGAAAATAAAGATAATATTTGCAATGCAAAAGAAAAAAATCTTGTATACACAGGGATTGATAAAAAATTACTAACATAAAATTCTTTTTTTTCAATGACCAACTACAAATTGCTCTGCTTTTAAGATGTCAATGCAAGATGTTAATTTCTGCCAGTGTAAGTGGCATCCTTTCAGCTGTCTCATGAAAATGTAGCATCCATGTATACTGCTAAATTCCAGTTATAACAGCAATGCTATAAGCAATTCTTGTAAAAGATACAAATTAATGATTATATGTCTACTGATGAATACAGGCAGAAAAGAACACTTCCTTAGTACAGCCAGCAACAGACACAAATAGACCAGAGTACAATGGGACATGTACATGGATATGGCAGAATACACACCAATAGCAAACAGCTCAATGCCAGCATCTCGTAGGTTTTTAGCAGGAGGGATAACATCATCTTGGGACTTCCCATCAGTAATCAATATCCCAATTTTAGATACCCCAGGTCTTGCACCTGCTTCAGGCTTAAAGCTGTTTTCCAAAATGTAAGTTAAGGCAAGACCTAAAAAAGAAAACATTTTAAAAGACTTTTACAGATTAAAGCATCCATTTGTTTTGGCAATATCACAGTGTTTGTTTTTTTACTCAATGTAAAAATTCTGATGAAGAATAAGCATAAAAGAAGAATTTATTTACTGAAAAATTAAATTCCAACAGCGGCCTAAAGCACACAAAGCTGAAAATTATTTTTAGCAGGCTTTGATCAATCAATGTATTCTAAGCTGGCTATGAAAACCTAAATTGATATTTCTGCAAATACGTCATCTTTTTTTTCCTGCTCTACCAAGTTAGAACAGGAAGTTCCCTCTCCCTATATTGCTTATATGAACGCACATGCTCTGCCTAGTTTAGTAAATCCTCATGCTACAGATAATTTTACTTTTGTTTGTTTTATTATTTTTTCCAACTTACAAGCCAAAAAAAGCTTCATTTACTCTAAGGGGAAATCTGATTTTAATAAATGTTAATTATTTAAAAGGAAATTAGAACAACAGCTCCAGGACAAACTTACACATCACAATGAGATTGTATCTGAAAACTCTTTTAAATCTCCCACAACTAACATTTCTAACTCATTTTCATGTAACATTTATATAAAATAATCAGGATAATTTACTGCTTCCTACCACCCAGTACTCCCACTCCTAGAATCATACTAGAGTTTTCTGTCCTTAGTCCCACTGCAATCACTCCTTCTACCAAAATAAAGACTGTTGCTTATTGTTTTTCCTATTCCTTACCCGCCAGAAAAAAAAAAAGAAAAAGGCAGTAATTTACTTAAAGCCATGTCTGGGTCTTTGGGTATATCATTTCAACATTACTAACTGCTGCTGTGATGACACTGGAATTGTATTCAGAGACTATATTTTTCCCAGATTGTCAGGCATCCCCCCTTTATCCATCACTAAGTGTCTCTGGGGCTAAAAAGGCAGTAATTTACTTAAAGCCATGTCTGGGTCTTTGGGTATATAATTTTGGGTATATAATTTCAACATTACTAACTGCTGCTGTGATTACACTGGAATTGTATTCAGAGACTATATTTTTCCCAGATTGTCAGGCATCCCCCCTTTATCCATCACTAAGTGTCTCTGGGGCTTCAGTGCTCTGACTGCTAAAAGGTCAATGAAAATCTAAAAGCCCTGGGTGGTCATTTGTAAAGTTAGTATTACCAGTTGTCAAATATTGAAACAACATTCTTTCCTTCTCCAGAATAAAGCTCTGTGCATGAACATTATAAATGGATTTTGCATTTTCTTCCCAGCAGATAAAAGGTTTTACTTCCAGCACAGAGGTAACTTTATTTTATGAGACCCTGTCCTGATTCCCCCTGAAGCCAATGGACAAGCGCTTCAGAAAAGGCTTGACTGACACTGGATAGAGCCCTTGGCAAGCTGCAGAACCCCTATCCTTTCCACCCTTCCTAGGAAGCACTGACACGTCTTGGGCTGTGCAGCAGAATATGCTTTTTAATACAAAAGCCAAAGCAGAGACAGTACCTGTCAATGTACCCTATCCTTTCCACCCTTCCTAGGAAGCACTGACACGTCTTGGGCTGTGCAGCAGAATATGCTTTTTAATACAAGGCAAAAGCCAAAGCAGAGACGGTACCTGTCAATGTGTTCCCTCCCTTGTACGGCAGGTTACGGACCGCATCCAAAACAGCATCCTTTGTGCCGTAGGCATTCAAGTGCCACTCAATTCGGGGATCCCCACTGTACTGTGCAAGACCTAAAGAAACAAATGAAGGCAAACCATCAGACAATAAAGTGGGGTTTTTTTCAAGTATTTAGACTTCATGTACTTGGTTTCCAATACCTTACCAATTAGCTTACTGTAAGTTGCTTTACTACCAGACTAGAAAAACTGCATTGGTTGACAACAAAAAGTAGCATGAAGTTGTTCTGGGTGACAACTCTTCAATTAACTTTCAAAGCCTTTTACTCAAGTGCTAATTAAATGAAAAGCAAAGAAATACAAATTTTTTTCAGAGTTATTAACATTGCAAAAATTATTTAGAAGAACAATTTTACTTAATGTACTGTTGAACAGTATCAGATCAAAAATATAACATTTCAGCCAGTTTAAAGCACAAGAAAAGCCATCCATTGGCACCTTCTGCCTGCAAAAATTAAACTGCAAGCGTTTGAGGCTAATGCTGACTGAATTCAGTGAGACTATTTCCACAGTTTTTATTTTTTCACTGACATTGCATTAGAGTTAACTAAGTTGAGGATCACAGTAAACCGTGAAGAATTAATACTATAAACATTCCAGCAGCATTACTCTGATGATAGAAGTGCTAGTGCTAGATGAGGATGAGTCTTGCAAAAAAGAGTAGCATTAAGCTGTTAACTAGCCTGAAATGATAACATCTTTATGTTGCTGGAGAAATATTGTGTAAAAGTGTGGCATCTTACCTACTCTTGTTTTCTCAGATCCCACATTGAAAGCAGAAACCAGGTTTTCCAGGAACAGTCGAACGAGCCTGAAATTGAATCTGCCAATACTCCAAGAACCATCTACTAGGATCACAATATCTGCAATGGCTGGAGTTTTACAGGTAAACAGGCTTCCTGTAAATCATTAAAATTAAATCAATATTATTAATTCGACAATGTTGTAATCCAATAAATATATGCCTTCCTCCTCACACCAAGCTTGGTAATTAAAGCTTTCTTCCATAGAAAAAAGCAAAATGACTAAACATGCCTGTTCTAACTTCAGTTATAGAATAGTCTGGCCATTATCTACTTCAGTTCTCTCATTAAAGTGTTCAAAATTACTTTTTGGAGGCCTATGAAAAGAAACCTTTCTTCTAAAAATACTTGAGAAAGAAAAAATTAGCTGTCATATAGCACAACCAAACCAAGAGTTGGTTTTCATTCCCAATGCACGTATACAATTTCAGTTCCCACACAAAGTGCATGACATGTAGCCTTAGGCACAGACAGTGCAGAGAGAGCTACCTAGAGATGCAGACATATAAAACAATTATCAAGGCTCTTTTCACAGTCAGTGGAAAAAAACACGTGTTTCTATACATCTCAAAAGCCCCATAGAAAACCACTAAGCACCACTGTAGACTTGTAAATGCAGAAGTGAATCCCACTCCTGCTCCTGGGAGTTGAGGAGAACTGAAGGCCAATTGAATATGCTGTATTAAACCTAAGTAGGAGACACTCAATACAGCAGAGGTAAATTGCAAAGACCTTAGATTCAAATTCACAGTCTCTATGAGAACAGGCATGAGAATGAAGCTTTAGTCATACAGATATACAGAAAAATATGAGAGCGTTAAAAGAAAACCAAACTAAACAACGGAAAAGATCTGATGAGAATTAGCAGAAGTACATATTAGTGATCTCTAAGGCTGAACTAAGCAGTGGGAAAGTCAAAGGAAGGGAAGTAGAGATTTGACACAAATTGCACTATGAGCTACCGAGAAGCCTAAACAGAAGTGCCACAGTCAGTTTCAGAAAATGCCAAGAAGAGAAGAAAGGGAATGGAAAAGATTTTCAGAACCTCAGACAGAACTGCCATAGTCCACAGAAGTGGATATGTGACTGTAAAATTAAAGTTGCTGAAACAGTGGGCTCATATTGTAGGGAGGGAAACAAAGGAATGATGTTACACAGGTATAAGAAATGAGAGCTTCTGTTCAAAGTACAAACTCCCTACCAGACTGGCTATAGAATAAGGAGAGAAGTAGGAAAAACAAAGCAAAGCAGGTTTAGTAGAACAGATATGATGCATCACAAACTATTTAGGGATGAAAATCATGACCCTCAATACAGTAAAAAACAAACACAGATTAGTGAATTAAACTGCAGCTCAGTTTTTATCATCATTTTTGTCAGGATTCACTTTACAAAGAATACCAACAGTTCAACATGGTGCTAACAGGAATCACCAAGTACACTGCCAGAAATAAACTGATTTGAGCAGAGATGTTCAGCAAATAAAAGAAGTAAGTCAGTGAGAAATTATCCAAAAGGTGTTTGCATTAGCTCCCAAGAAATTCTCCTGATACACAGAGAAAATAAAACACATGGTTAGCAACTTTAAACTTTCACAATATATTATTAATGACAATCTTTTCATTAAATACAAAACTATAATCTCACAGGCAAAACCAATCTGATGTGCAGAAGGAATTCCATTGGTAATAATTAAGGGTTAGATTCATACTGTAGTGTAAATCCACTGAGCATTAAACCCAATCCATAAAGTTACAGTTAATGTCTTAAACGTGTACTACAAATATTTTTAGAAGAACAGGGAACATTTCCTACGTGCAGCTAGCAGTGCAAAATAAGTTCTAAGCACATGACAAAAATTCCACTTACAATGATGCCAAAGCAAATATTTTATTTTAGCTTTTACAGTACAAGACAACACTATTTGAATTGGCAACAGGTTTTAATGTATTGACACTGAGGGACGTTTAGTAAGCATCAGAAAAATGATCTTAAATTGGAACATAATTCCAAAAGAGGTCCAAATCTTTATGTCACTGAAGTCAACAGAAAAACTTCCCTTGATTTCAGTTGGACTGGAATCTGTTTTGTGATTTAATAGGAATCTACTAGTCATGGCAAAATTAATGTTTCAAATATCTTTGACAAATAAACTTCCTGTTCATCAGTCTGCATCACTTGCAGTATCTGTCTTCCATTAACAAGTTCAATTGTGCCATTCTCACACTGGCCATGACTAGCACTGCAAGCTTCAAAAGAACTACTGGCAAAGTAAAATGCTACTTGACACCAGTAAGAATGAAAGCCCAGGACCCCTGATTCACATCCAAGCAGCTGTACAATAGCACAGATGTACCTTTCAGTGCTATCCCAGCAGTTCAGTCATACAGCCCAATGAGGATAACAGGATTTGTGTGGTTCTATTTTCCTTCTCTACTTCTAAAATCTTGTGCTGAGTATGAAACCCAGTTATTATCCTTGGTAATATTTCATATCATTTCATGTCAACAAGTTTTGCCTATAAGGCTTCTTTAATCCTGTAGTGATGACTTTGTAGTGAAAGATTTTATCAGTTTTAGTAAATCCATTCAGTGAAGCAAAATCCAAAGAATAAAGAAAACAATAACGACATTCCTTTCAATGTTTTATTTCCACATCATCAGATCAATGCAAATAGTATAATCCAATTATTTTTTGTTAAAGAAACTTGTGTGGTTTGATCCAAGATTGTACTGCAAGGTCACAGTGTGAAAATTTGTTTCATTCTTCGTAGGTAGCAGATACTTGTTGCATCTTTTCTGCATAAAACATTTAGGTTTTGTTACTTCTGTACACCCACTATTTTGCTTATGCTTTCTCCTTGTTGTACTTAATAGAATTGTAGAAAGTTCCCTAAAAGGGAATAAACAACAGTGAGATATTAAACAGAATAATACGGTGATAGAATCTTTAAAACCTGATAGGAATACAAACACCATGACATACTAGTTAATAAATTTAGTTTAAAAGACACTGCACCTCACTGTGCTTAGCCAGTTTCCATTGCCAGTTCTTGCAAATGTCTTTTTCAATAATCTTTCCATACAGTCATACATGGTCATGAATTCCTGTAGGGTTGAGGGTAATTTTGAACATGTCAAGTGCATACACAACTTTAATAGGCAATTTTCCCAAAAACTTTTCTTAAAGGAGGATGACAGCATGTCATTCCATAGAATAAAGCTTTAAACACTCAGTGTTTTAGTCTACTACAAGGTTCAATAGTGTGCTTATTTGCCTTTCATTTGGTCATCAAGAAAAGAGTAGTGAGAGAGAAGTTCCCACTTCCCTCTGAATTATACAATACTCACCAATTTCAAACGTAGGACAGTAGAGACCTGTTACCAAATTTTATATCATGTTTCCTAATGTTATATAGAATCCATAATTCTGATTCATGTGCTGCATTCCACAACAAACAATAACAGAGCCTGTGATCTTTAGGTAAGCAAAAATAACAGAATTGCACAAATTGTAAAGTCAGAATAACAACCTGTATATTTTGTACCAGCAACTGTCTTCAGTTGCTTCACTTACAGTTGGAGGAGAATTTTTATGGGGGAGAAAGTAAAATATTAGTGCACTTTCTGTAACAAATTTACAATCTTCCGAGCACTACTTGGCAGAAGGAACTTGCCGCTCTGCCAGAAAGCTGAGGAGGAAGGGACCCTGTCTTCTTATTTCTGCTTTTCAGAGAAGGCACAGCCTCAAAATCTCACTTTCAAAGGCACCAATATACAGTAAAGGACCACCAACCATGTTTTAGGGTAAGATATTTGCACAAAACTGCTTCATTATCACCAAAAATCAAATCACCATGAAGAATTTTGATTCCTTGGTTTCAGGGAAATTTTTTAAAGAGCCAGCATTGAAAGAGCTTTGTATCTGCCAAATGAATTTTTCTGATTTTGATTCCTCAAGCCCCTAGACACAGAAGGTGGTTTGCTGGCACTTCCAATATGCAAGTGTTACACCACTCTCAAAACCATGCCAAAACTGTCTGAGAGTGAAGCCAGTGATGGCAACGCTGAAAGATCCAGATAGATTTTTCTGGGATAGAGGGAATGTTATTGGAGCCTGCAAAACAGGACCCTTGAGTCATCCCGCTGAAGGGAATGGAGTGCAGAGAGAGACCTGAGAGAAGCTCTGACAGTGTGGGGGCTGCACAGAGCACAGCAGCCTTGACAGCTCCTGGAAACACTGACCACCCCTCCAGGGCTGCATTCCCTGCTGTGGCTACTCTTCCACACACGTGCTGTGAGCAAGTGAGCAATGGTAAAAACAGAAGTTCGACCAAAAAACCTGCAAGCCTTACCCACACAGAAATACAAAACTATAATTTTTAACCTAGAGAAGGGAATTTTGACTCCTGGAGTTAATACTACTACTCTTTGAAAGTTCCTTGAAAGGCAAAGGGAGAAGCTGCAAATACAGGCACTTCACATGGGAGGACTCCATGCTTTAGACAAACCAGTGCAATTTGCATGCAGTTATGATATGTTTTACAGAAACACATTTGATATTTTGCCTCCCCTTAGTATGAAACTCTGTTCTCATTTCCAAGAGCCAAAGCACACACTTCTTCTGCTAGAAGTTAAGACTATAATTCTTCCTGAGTCTGCAATATGTCGTTTCCTTTCTTACTCCCTGTCACAGTGGAAAGTCAAATAATATATGTGGAAGGAGAGGAAGACAGTTCAAGTAGAGGTGAATAATAATAATAATAATACAGTATGAACAGAAGACTCGTTCATGGGGTAACAAAGCACAAAAAGCAAGAAGCTTGGTGCCAGCAGTGAGTGAAAAATACCTTGTGAATAAGGCATGAATGACAGAGAACAGCCAGTCCTCCACAGCGACTGACAGCACCACGCTGAGCAGAAGCACCACTGAGGACAAGGGCAGTGTAAATCTACATTAGCAAAATGTCACATCTTTTATTTTAAAGGGTTAAAAAAAATACAGGACGTGAGGCAATGTCCAGCTCCAGAATTCAGCAACTCACTAGTCCATGCTTCTGACATTGATATTATTCTTCTGTGCTGGTGATATCATCC